GCATTTTTTGTGCACTTGTAGCTACACACAGTTTTTTAAAGCACAACTGACTTTCCTCTAGTTGTTGTTGTGTGTTGCTTGATGTGTGCTGCTTGCAAAGGGAAACAATGGAAATGTAAATTGTTTTTATGTCTTTGTTTTTAATTTTACGCCAGGCAACACGATGCGACTCTGATATTCGGCAGGCCTCTGTGAAAGGGATTTGATGCAGCCCGTTGCCCGCCGCGTTGCATGCCACGAATTTGGCATTTGCTTTTTTACGTTTGCCACTCAACAGTCGCATTGCAACAAGCAAGCAGAACAATAAGAATGGTCAGACTTTTGGCTTTGCTGTTCGCTTAGGTTTTCATTGTCGCCGTTGCCGGAAAATGTTTTTCTATTTCATTCTTTATTTTTTTTTTGCTGTTTTTGTTAATTTGCATACGTGCAGAGCTTGCAGGCGAGCCAGCGCCATTTTCGGTTGCTCCTGACATTGACGTATGAATTTACATTTGTGCTTGTATCTGGGCACAGCAATGATCAACCTGGGGGTTCAACAAACCCAGAACACCGCAATAAAAGTGCCTTCATTAGCCGCCATTAGACAACTGGAATGTGCATCACATTTCACACGATATTAAATTGTGCACGAGGAGAAAGCGCTGTGAAAGCGCTGTGAAAGCTAGCTTAAATTGCTTGGACACATGGCCCTGGCCTGGGAGTGCGTGTTTCTGCCATTAAAGTTTCATCAGCGCCGCAAACCTCGCCAAATCCCCAAAGCCCCCGCGGCCAGGTCCTGGTCCAGGGCAGCGAGCTGAAGGGTCGCTTGTGCAGCTGATATTGTCATTACATGCTTCGAGGATATTTCTGTGGCGTAACCAAGGCAAATGTACTTTTGACAGTTGGACTCTTGAAAGGGTTGACCGACAACCCACACACACACACACACTCGCACACACACATATACACAGAAAACTTTCCACAATGCAAAAGATTTAAATTTCTGGCTCTGAACAGCAACAGCTGCCATTTGATAATGCCGCTGGGGGCCAAACCGGGCCTGGGCCTGGGCCTGTGCCTACCCCTTGGCCATGTGGCCAAAACTCTTGGCCAGCCCCAAATTGCTGGGCTTACTTCTAATAGTTGTGAAATGATTTTGCTTGCAGCAAACTGTAGCGGCAGCAATAAATGTTAGTTAAGTGTTTAAATATTTTATCAATGTGAGATTTGCTACCAATCCAAATGTACATATTTGTAGCTGTATCTGTATCTGCAGCTAATGCAATTGCATCTTCTATTGTTCTGGCCAATCAAAATATTATCTATGCAATGTAAATGTATTGCAATACCTTCGAGCAGCATTTCTACATATTCCCAAAGTCTTTATAGATATGCCAAATTGATTTCTTGCTGACTTTATATGTTCATTAATTTAGATTACTCTACAGATTTTGTTCAGGCATTAAACTATTTTGCAAAAACAACTTAGGTATTATATCTGCTTTTTACCATTAAGTATGACTGTTCAATTAATTTGAAATCAAAATGTTGCCAGCAATTGGATAAGTTGCTAGCAAACATGTTGCCAGCAACATTTTGTGGAACGTAACTGACTGAAACAAAACCCAAAGCAACATTGGAAATTTTATTTACATCTAATGAAAGTTAAAATCTTAAATATTACCTGATAGATATGTTAGCCAGAACAAAGACAAATTTATTTAAAAAGCTGAATTCATATATTTCAAACATAATAAGGGAAAAGGGAAATATTAGAAAATGTCACAGAATAATATCACATACAAAAAATAGTTAACAAATCTAAACTAAGTTCTTTCATCAAAAATTATCTAAATATTTATTTATATATTTAGATATTTGTGTATTAATATTTTAAATTTAAATGTCAAATGAATCCTGCTAACGAGCATGATTTAAAAGAAATTCCACATGGAAATCAAAGAGAAAGATACCTAAAGAAAGAAACCCTAATAACTATAAATTAAATTAATTTAATTGTTGAATAATGAATAATGTATTAAGTGCAATTGAAGACAATTATAAATAGAAATAGTTTGAACAAGTTAAACGATGCAAATGAGCTCGCAGAAAGTTGATCGGCAGCGATAAAAGTTATCGAATCGTAAAACACTTGAGATAGCTGATGTCCCCCATCGAGTTGAGCCATAAACCGGTTCTAATCATGGAGAGTCTATCGCACTTGCATTTGCCATTTGCGTTCGCAGTACACAACATGATCTTGGCCAGCATTTTTGTGTGTTTCTGCCTGGCGTCAGCCTTTAATTATTTTCGCCAGCGTCGCCAGCGCGGCTTCGTGGTGAATCTGAAGGGACCCTTCACCTGGCCCCTAATGGGCGCCATGCACAAGATTGTGCTGCTGACACCAAACAGTGCGTAGAGATTTTTAGCTGAAGCCAAGTCTAAGGTTGTTATTTCAACAGATTTCTTTCAGCGCAGCGCCGACTACCTGGCCAAGTATGGAGCACTCAGTCGTTGTTGGGTTTTTCACAGACTTTTCATACCAGTCGCTGACTGGGAGCTGGCGCAGCAGCTGTTGCACAGTCAGTCGCACCTGGACACGGGCCATGAGCTGATGAGCGACTGGCTGGGCGAAGGTGTGCTCATGTGCCAGCCGGAGCACTGGCCACAGCGACATCAGCAACTGGCCGCTCTCTCCAGCCCAGACAACCTGTTGCAGCTTACGAAACTGTTTCAGCAGCAGGCATTGCAACTCTGTCAACAGCTGGAGGCATATGCGGCAACTCGCCAGCTCTTTGATGTGTGGCAGGCCGTGTCTGGCAACGTGTTGGACCTGATGCTGGCCACAAGCTGCGGCATGCAACCAAGCGAGCAATACAAACAGGCATTTACTGAGTGAGTACGCGATTATATTTAACTTTATAATCTAACAAATTTAATAATAATTATAATAATAATAATAATATTAACAATAATTAAACTAATTTTAATAATAGAATAACTTATCAGTTAAGTTCATGGCGCAAGCCAGGGCCGAGCATTTGTCTATCATTCGTGAACCTGGTTCTTCGCATCAACCAATTCAAAATTGTTTCCAATCTAGGCTTTTGATGCCCTTGGAGAAGTTATTATAATTCTGTCATGAAATGTGTAACGCTTAGATGAAGATATCTGCAAGCCCAAAAAGTCTGATATAGCCATGTCCGTGTTTCCGTCCGTTCGTCTGTCTGTTTCTAGGCAAACTTGTCTCTCAGTTTGAATGTCTTGAAAATATTATGGCCAACTCCAGCAAATATTATTTAAACTATGCTGCTTATATATGTAAAGTTCTAATCGGGATAGCAATACTATATTATATAGCTTCATAAGAAGAATCGGTTGAAAAATGAGTTGGCTACATATTCTGTTGTTCAAGATATTTTTCATTAGGCTCAGCATTTACGAGTTTGACTATTCTCACATATCTGCAATTTGGTATAAAACAATTCAATATTTATTTTATAAATGCCCTTTGTGCTGAAAATATAGCTAGCCCTGCCTATTTTCATATACAAGATGCGGGCTAGATTTTATCTCTACCAAAAATAGGTTAGATAAATGCAAAGTTATTTATTTTGGTGAAGCTTAAAGTGTGGTCATGGTAAAAAGTGTGACAAGCAAAATTCTGGATTCGAACCGGTTCGATTCAAAACTGTTTTTTAGACTGTTTATCTGCTAAATTATCTCACATATATTTTACAATAATATCAGCCTCATAGAAATCTATCGCAAGCGTTTCTTGAGCATAAAATCAGCCAACCGCTTTACCTTTTGGCTGGCATCTCCGCTGTTGCGACGACGCCAGCAACGCCTCATCCGACTCCTAAACGATGGGAATAAACAGATGTTGGGAAAGTGGAGACAACAGCAGCTGATCCGGAGTCAGATGAAGAGCGAGGGCATAACAATAGATCGGATTGAGCCAGCACCAAAACTGGAGCACCAAACGCTGCTCGAGGTGCTGCTGTCAGGCGACAAGTTGACCGACGCGGAGCTGTGCGCCGAGCTGAACACCTGCAACTACCTGGGCTATCTGCTGTGCAGCACGACGCTCTGCTTTACCTTGGTGCTGATTGCGCGTCATCCGGCCGTGCAGCAACGTTGTCTGGAGGAGCTGCGCAATGCACGCAGCTCAGAGGACTGGCAACTGCAGAGATTGCCCTACTTGGATGCGGTGCTTAGGGAGAGCTTGCGCCTGCAACCGCCACAGCTGATTGTGGGGCGACAGCTAAGCCAGGATTTCAACTACAGTATGTCAATGCAGGAATTTCTGAGGAGCTTCACATTTATGCCACATTTGATTGCATTCACAGCTCACTCCTTGGTGGGAAATGGCGCGCTGCCCGCCGGCGCAGAGGTTTACATAAATCTCTACGAGCTGCAGCGTTGTGAGCCGCAATATGGCAATCAGACGCATCTTTTCCAGCCGGAGCGCTTCCTGGCCCAGCCACCGCAACTGCTCAGCTTTGGCCTGGGTCCGCGCAACTGTCCGGCTCAGGAGCTGAGCCTAAGCCTGCTGAAGGCACTGCTGGCGCCGCTGCTGCTGCAGTTCGAGCTGCTGCCCTACGGCGATGCAGTGCGTCCGAATCTGCGACTGGCGCTCGGCTCGCGCAACGGCTTTCAACTGGCGCTGCAGCCGCGTCAGGCAATAGAAACTACGACGATTGAATAGTCTAGGAGTCAAATTTATAATCAAACCTTGGACTCTATTTGTGCTTATCAAAATACTCTAATTGCCTGCAGTCCTTCCTAGATGAGCACAAAAAAACTTGGATTGGGAGCCCTCGCTATAGATGTAGAAAGGTATAAACCAAGGGTCATAGTAGCTAGAACTATTTTAGAATCTATTTGTTTTCATTTAATCAAGACTTGTCTTGAGCTGCGGTTTTTAAATCTGATTTTCCAAATCTTTGAACCCGGGTTCGGGTTCGAACCTTGGTTCAGGCTTAGCCACCGCTATTCTCTATCCAAGGGTTTCGACTTCAAACTGGTTCGATTGAAAACCTTGCTTATAACTAACTGATATTAATAACATTTATATAAATAAAAATAAGACTTTTATTGCTTGCTGTCGCTGGCAACGTTGCGCCGGCGCATGCCCAGCTGGAAGCCGTTGTCGGAGCGCAGGACAATGTTGACCACCGGCTGCACTGGTTCACCCAGGGGCAGCAGTTCGAACTCGCGCACAATCTTGGCCAGCAGCATCTTCATCTCCAGCTGGGCAAACTTCTGGCCAATGCAGTTGCGTGGTCCGGCGCTGAAGGGCACAAAGGCAAAGGTCGCGGCACGTTCGCCGCTCTCGTGGCGCTCCGGCTTGAAGCGCAACGGTTCCGGGAAATAGGCAGGATCATTGTGCATGCCAATGATGCCCATGATCACCTCTGAGCCAGCGGGTATGACACCATCGCCCACCTTCGAGTGTGCTGTAAACGAAAGGTGTTCTCTTAGCATTTGTCATCCCAGTTCTGGGTACCGCCTACTTACTGTACTTAAAGTCCGTTTGGAGCGTGCGTCCCACCAGCGGCACTGGGGGAAATTGACGCAGCGACTCCTTCATGACGCACTCCATGTACTTCAGCTCGCCCAGATCACGCATATTGATCGCCCGGCTGCGATCCGTGCCCAGCACCTGCAAAATCTCGGCCAGCAGCTTGGCCTGAACGTCGGCATGCCGCGAGATGCACCACAGGCAAAAGGATATGGCGCTGGTCGTGGTATCGTGGCCCTCGAACATGAACGTGTCCACCTCCTCGCGTATCTCCTCGTTCCTCAACGGACGTCCATTCACGCTGGCCTGCAGCAGCACATCCAGCAGCGCCATACGCCGCTTGCTGCCCACCGCATCCTCGCTCCTCTGCGATCCGCCGCCCAGCTGCTGCGCCTGCTCCAGAGCCTGGCGACGCTGCTCGATTACCCCGATGGTAAATTCGTGCATGGTGCGTATGAGCTGCGTTTGACGCCACTTCAGATGTGGATGTGTCAGCGTGAAGAGCAGCTCGTTCTGCAGATAGATGGACATGAAGCGCCAGGCCATCAGCGCAGTGCATCTGTTGAGAAAGTCAGAGTGTGTTGGCTAATATAAATTTAGGGTAAGTAAAGATGCACGCAAGGCTGCGAAACGGGTTCAAACTAAACCGGTTCGAGCCAGAAACTGGATCTTTTTAACTTTGAATCGAACCCGGAATCAGAACCTAACAAATTCTTATGTATGAATTGGTTCATGCGAATAAAATATATAATATTTGTGATCTTTAAAAAAAGGTACGAAACTGATTAAATATTGGTTCGAATAGTGAACCGAATCCACGAAAGTAGTCTCTTGGAACTCTTGGAATGGAACCAGTTATCCGAATCGAGATCCGATCAAGCCTCTATATATTTCTTTAAATGTGCATCAATTTCCCAAAAGTACTCGACACTTACTCGTTCACAGCATTGGCATAGGGCGTGCTCTCTGCCAGTTGGGCATTCACCTTGGTGCCCATCGCTGTCTCCGCAATGATGTCCAAGGCGGCCAGGCAGATGAAGGGATAGACATCGAAGCACGTTTGGCCATCGGCTCGCTGCTGCAGACGTTGGATGCAGATGCTCGACTGCTGGTCAAAGACCTCGACGAACTGCTCCAGTATCGAAAAGTGAAAGGTGGGCGTGATTATCTTGCGCCGCTGATGCCACACTCTGCCATGGCTGAGCAGGAGTCCATTGCCCAGCCACTGGCCCAGCAGCTGGTACAGCTGATGCTTGACCAGGTGCTCCTGGCTGGAGAGCAGCTGCTCATTGAACTCCGTATCGCTGCTGGTGATGAGCAGGCGATTAAGGATCCAGACGCGCTGCAAATTTCCATGTTTCTCCACTTGCTTGCGCGACTCCCTTATAAAACCTGCGGTAAGCCAAAACGATTAAACTAAATCATATAGATAAATATTATTAAAGCCGTAATAAAATACATGCACCAGCTACTACGATTGCGATAACAATACAAGGTTCATAAGTGCTTCAACTATTTGTTTATAAACAATTTTTATTGGCATGCAAAACAACAATGCAATGAGATAACATTTATAAATAGGTCCAGTAATCAATGGTATTCTGATAAGACTTCATTGAAGGAACATTAAATACTTAACTTATCTCAGCTTGGTTTTTCTTAGGTTAAATTATATGAGTTAATTTTTATAATTAATCGAGTAATATTAATTATAATAATTTATTTAATTGAAATCTAATCTTGAAATCTGCTAAATTTTCAATTTTTGGATAACCTCTGTGTGTGAACTTTTGCTAACTAGTTAGACTTCCTTCCAGTCGTGCACTCTGACCTAGATCACTCGACTTGCACATAAAACAATAACATTATTATCCTACTAGAAGCTGCACAATTCTAGAACAATTTGTTAATTTATATAGTTATGCAAAAATTGTTTACAAAATCTACTTTGAACCAGTTTCTCCAAGTCTCTGACCAAAGATTTACTTTGGCTAATTCAAATTCAAGCTTATATTAAAATGAGCTCAGCTTTTGCTAACTTTAAGTTTATTGTAGTCAAAGAAGGTCTCAAAAACAAGACTAACTGGAACTATAAATAATTATTCTAGATCCATGCATAGCTGCATTTTTTTCTAGTTCCACGGAGATTAAAAGTTTAAGTATAAGTGATTATTCAATTTTTATAGGAAATGTGCGACAATCTTTGATTCGATTTTTTCGACAATTTTTTATTATTATATTATTATATTAGCTATTGCCAAGTTTTGTTTATAGAACTTTTGAATGCACTTTATTAGTTTTTTTTTTTTCAAATTAGAGTTATCAAAGTTTCACTGTCACAGCAACTGCGGGTAATACCTACTCTTGGGATTCAGTTTGATCATGCGATGCACAGCTCCGATGACGGGCGGGCAGTAGGGACCGGGCAGATTGGCGACCGCCGCACGACGCGCCCCCTGGCTCCGATGAAAGCGAAAGGCGGCCGTCAGCAGAAACACGACTATTGCGATCAGCAGCATTTCGTAATATGAACTGGCTCCGGCTGTTCTACTAATCCGGGAATGCATAGACGCCGGCTCTAGTATTAGCTGCTTATCTAATCATCGATTGCGGGCTAATTACGCCCGCTGCAGCGGACCCGCCCACTTCCACTCCCCCATCTGGAATCGGGCCGAACACTTGTGCGTTAATTCAGCGATTAGCACGTACTGAGTGTTGTTCTTTCGGCAACAAATGAATCGTATTGAGAACAAACGAGTATGTTAATTGTTTCGAATACACTAACGTTGACGGGGGGCATCCAGCATTGAGTCATCGCTGGCATTGGGTAAACTTTGTTTTTTTTTTTTAAGTAATTTCCGTTAGAGACATTCGTGCGGAAATTAAAACATTTGCACTGGGGATGGATAGCTGCCAAGCTGCCAAAAGCCGAGCCGTGGCAAGTCCGAGAGCTGCACTCGAAAAAACTAATTAACAGTTGCTTCCTGGAGCCGGCGGAGCGCCAGCAACTTTGACTTTGTAATGGCATTTTATCATATTATTTTAAATGGCAAAAGGGTCAGCAACTGAACACAAAAACAGCTACAGATAGATATCTATATATATATATACATATATACATATCTGCCACATAAACGTACTTTTAATTGTGCATTTTCAATTTTCACAATGACTGTTATAAATAAAACTCTGTGCGACGGCAAAAAAAGAAGGAGAGAAGTGATAAAAAAAGAGAGGAAGATTTTCCACATTAATTTCTGCATATTAAAAATGCAATTTGTTGCGTTAATTGCAGCATGTGAAATGTATCAGACAATCCCAGCGATAGCACAGCCAGAAACCCAGAGACCGCCCAGAGTTTCAGCTTCGATGCGGCCAAGTCACGTTGATAGCCAGCGCAAACAAGCCGCCCGCACGCGAACAACGCGGCGTATGAGTAATACGAGTGAGTCCGATTGTCTGTGGACGAGTGTGTGTGTGTGTGCCGACACGTGAGCAACTGCAGATCCAACCTCGTTTTGTTGCGGATTTAAAATTATTTTTAAATGCGAGACAACTGATATTTCGGTTAAGGCGCCAACTGTTCAGAAATTGATATAAATGACGCAAACTGTGAATTCAAAATAAAATAGCTATTAAAGTGCCTTAACTTTAAGCTGTAGATAGTGTTCAGATATTTAATATAAACATAGTTTATTAAATAAGTGAAGATTATCGATGCCATATCAATTTTGAGGATAAGCAGACTTTGTTTAAGGTGAAACATTATTTTATAAACGCCGCAAAGCGTTTCCTTTTATACACATATATATTTTTGTATGCATGTACATATGCATGTATATGCGGAAGCGGCTCAACATTGGGGGCAACAATAGAGGATGTTTGTATGTATGTATGTTTGTATGTATGTATGTATGTATGTATGTATGTATGTATGTATGTAATTATATATGTATGTATGTATGTATGTATGTATGTATGTATGTATGTATATATGTATGTATGTATGTATGTATGTATGTATGTATGTAATTATATATGTATGTATGTATGTATGTATGTATGTATGTATGTATGTATGTATGTATGTATGTATATATGTATGTATGTATGTATGTATGTATGTATGTATGTATGTATGTATGTATGTATGTATGTATGTATGTATGTATGTATGTATGTATGTATGCATGCATGTATGCATGTATGTATGCAGCAAATATAAATAAGACGGTTTTCTACAAGCACCCCTCTATGCGATTCTCAAGAATTCAAGTAGGTCGCACAGACTTCACTTCTATAGTAGAGGAGGCGGCGGCTCTAATATAGGAGGAAGCGGCTGCAACATAGGAGGACACGGCGACTTCGACTCTACAGGAGGCGGCAGCTTGAGCATAGGAGGAGACGGCAGCTTTACTATGGAGTAAGCGGCAGCTTTACTATGGAGGAGGCGGCAGCTCTTACATAGGAGGATGCGGCTCCAACATAGGAGGAGACGGCAGCTTGGCAAAAAAAGGAAAAGGCAGCTGGACCATAGAAAGCGACAGTGGCGGCAGGAGGCGGCAGCTCTTATGTAGGAGGAAGCGGCGACTTGTGCTATCGAGGAGGCGGCGGCCTCATCTACGAAGGAGGCGACGCTTTAAAAATTGATGGAAACATTGACCATGGCTTTGGTGAATGAGACACCTTCAATTTTAGTGTGTGGTTATTGAAAAACAGGTACTTATTCTAAATGTCTTTTAAATAGCTCTCTCTTACCTTTCTCTCTTTCTCTTTCTCTCAGTAACTTTTTTTTATGTTTTTCTCATTTTAATCATATTTTTTTCTTTGTTTTGCTCTTTCACCAACTCTCTTCTTCTTTTATTTTTTTAGTGATGTGCTTATATGAAAACCCATCTCGCCTCCAACTAACAGATAAAATTGAAGAAACCGTGGAAACATATATGAATGAGTAAGTACATATGGACATATATATTTCTAAATAAAAAATAATAAAATTAAGAGCACAACTTATTTTCTAACTTAGAATAAATATTTTTGATTCGCTTTTAAGACACTTAAAGATATACAAATTCGTATAATTGCAAAAAGTTTGATTATTTGCTTGGTTTTTCTTTGCCAAGACAACTCTAGGCAAACTAGAGTGAAGATTGAATATAGTACGTAAGTTTTATTGGACTTAAATAAGTTACTTAACCAACACTGCCTCGCATTAAAGCATTACCCAGCACTCGTGCTAGCGAGAGCATAACGAGATAGCTGTTAAAAGCAATAGAATTTTCATGATATTGGCTAGACTATACGAAGAAGAAATGTGACTAGCTGCAGACTTTGATCCGTCCAGCGGATAGAATTCCATGGCCTTCTCGGCCATGGCACTGATGCCCACCCACGACTCATCTGCCAGTTCCTTCAGCAGCGCCGTGGGTGGCCAGAAATCGAAGGTGTCGCCACGACGCTGGCCGGACAATTCCAGCACATAGGAGAGCGGGAAGCCAATGGAATAGGCATAGTCCAGGCAGGTGCCACCGAATGCGTCAGTTAGGCCAACCTGTTCGTAGGTGAACTCTGTGCCCGTCGCCTTGCGGATGGCCTCGGCGCCAACCTTGGCCACCTCACGTAGTTCCTGGGCATTGTCCGCCGGCGAGCTGAAAGACAGATATAAGATTGAGATAAGCCGAGGAGAGAGTTATAGGCAAATAGACCTACTCCTTGTAGACCCAGGGATAGAACACACTTGTGTGATGGGAGTGCAATGATATGAACATGACAGCACGTCCGGATTGAACCAGATCGAGCATTATATCGCGCACGGCTCGCGCCTCTGGCTCCGAGAAGGGCTCGCTGCCGGCATAGTGATCGTGACAGGGATCGGTGAGCTCCTCATAGCCTTGCTGCCAGCCAATATCGTAATTGCGATTGATGTTCGTGCCGAAGCAATTGCCACCGTTCGGCGAACGTGTATTCCGCCACCATTTGTCTACGGTGCGGGAATAGGTGTAACCGTCCGGATTAACCAGCGGCAATATGGTCCAATCGTAGTCCTTCAGCAGGTGTGCGTGCAGCTCATAGTTAACCACCAGCTGCTCCACGGCATACAAGGCAGCCACCGGCGTCAGCCACTCCCGCGCATGTGCGCCGGCCGCCACAAAGATTGCCTTCTTGCCGGTGCGTCCATCCCCGTTGGTGATCGTTATGGTCTTCAGCGTGCGATTCTCATAGGTGACGCCCACATCTTGCAGCAGCACGCGCTGGCTGAAGGCGCCGCTCAGCTCCTCCAAATAGGCCAACATGCCATCGTAGCTGAGGTACTCATCGGTGTTCAGAGTGTGGGGCGTGGCCACGTGACGTCGACTGCGCAGTCGCTGCTTGAACGCCTGCAGACGCGAGGCGCCAAAGGCCAGCGATCGATCAAACTGTGCTATCGATACGAGAAGCGCGCACAGTGCGAAAAGCAGCGTGTTATCGATTCTTCGCATTTTACACAGTTGCGCGCCAAACTAAACGCCATTCGAAAAAGCTTCGAGTAGCCAATGGGAATGTATTCGTGACGTCACATGTGCATGTGCTTATATGCATGTGACGTGTGTGTGTGTGCGCCCTGGGCTGACGAAAATAAGTAAACCCGTTTCGCAAGCGCAAGCTTTGCGGTTTTTCGGCGCAACAAAATGAGAACCGTTCTCTCGAAATGACAAACAACGACTGAATTCTGTCAATTCGATGTTCTGTTTACAATCTGCGCGATCAGCAATTCGACAGCTCTCTCTTTCTCTCTATCTCCTTCTCTCCTTTTATATATGCCGCACGCTCTCTCTCCTGCTCTCTTGCTGATGCCCGATTCCCTCTCTTGCTTGGATAACCCTTCCTATAAATAAAAGCATTTGCCATAATATTATTGAGTAATACTTTAAATATAATTCCACTATCTCTTAAGTCTTTTTGTTCATGCCAATTTGCCTTATCTCTGTCTCTCTCTCTCTCCCTTGCACTCTCTCCAAATATGTTATTGTGCTGTTGCCTTGGCTGCATGAGTTGCAAAAGCTTCAAAAAATTACAATATACTCGTTTTTATGCAGAGTAAGTGCGTGCCACACTTGTTGCCTATAGATACAATGCATTGTCTGGGTATTTCCCTGTCTTGCACTTTGCGCCTTTGTTTAAATACCCCGTACTTCAGACATCTAGCGGGTATAATGTCTTGTGTGTTGAGCTTGATATTGAAAATAGTATAAACTTTTTAAGGATTCCAAACCAACATAAAAGTAGTTGCTGGTTCTGTTCACAGCGTGAAGCAATTGCCTAGCTAGCTTTCCGCTAGTTAGAACCAAGTTTCTGGTTCAAACCTTAGTTTTTTTCATATATTATATGCAAATTGTTATTCAAAATTTAAAAAAGTTCATATTTGTTTTAAACAAATGCCCCATTGTACTGAAAACATTGCAAGCCGTAAATGTTTTCATATACAAAATGCGGGCGAAATTAATTGTCTGACAAACATTTGTCTTAATTTTATAGGGTTAGATAAATGCATTGTTTGGGGCCAAAGTTATTAATGCTTTGTTTCTGAATAAACAGAAAAGGTTTTTATTTTTATTAATATTAATATTATTTATAAACCAAGCCTTTTTGAAGAAATAGAGTATATTTGGTTTGATTTTCGCGTTGTCTGACTTTTGGACAATTGCTTTGATTCATGTTGAACAGAAAATTGATAAGAATTTTGGGCTCGAGTCGACCAGGTTCAAACCCGGTTGGCAGTTTTTACAAAATTACAAAAAGCATATTTTTAAATAGAATATTGCATTAATGAATTGGGGATCAGGCCTGACTAGGGCTAGACTAGGCATGACGGGTTCGAACCAGCTTCCTACAAACACATTGCACATGCATATGTCCTTATTAGCTAGCCTTTACAGTTATCAGTCGGGGCAACAAACTATGGCAATTCGCTGAAACGGCTAATTGAGTTAACGTTGGCACTTTTCAAACATTTTCCATGGGCTGCCCAAGCTGGCCAAGACGCGGCAAGGCGGCAACAACAAAGCTGCTGATAAAGCGACTTGCCACTATATCTGCTAGTTTTATGCTCTACTTTTATCTCAGTTGGCGGCTTTGGCCATTTTGCGGTTTAAAAAGCCATTAAAAAATGTAATTATGTTGATAAATACGTCTTACTGGGCATTTTGCATTTTTATTTTTCAACGTTTTTTTTTTTTTTTTCAACTTCCTTTTGACGACGGCAGCGCTGGGCAGGGGCGGAGCTGTTGTTGCCACTCAACTTTGGCCGCAACAGCAAAACAACAACATGGCCAAAACAACAACATGGCCAAAACAACAGCAGCAACAACCACACTTCGGTCTTTCTTCAGTTTTTATACCCTGAACCCATTTAAGTATAAGGGTATAAGGGTATATTGTATTTGTGCAAAATCCAAATGTATGTAACAGGCAGAAGGAAGCATCTCCGATCCCAACAAGTATATATATTCTTGATCAGCATCAAAAGCCGAGTCGATCTAGCCAAGTCCGTCCGTCCGTCCGTCCGTATGTATGAACGCAAGGATCTCAGAACCTGTAAGAGCTAGAGACTTGAAATTTTAGATGTAGATGCTCCTAGTTCCCGCGCAGATCGACTTTGTTTCCGATAATCGATAACTTACTCCGTTTCCAAGCAATCGATAAAAATCGATATCCTGATTTTTGGCCAAATTTGGTAAATAATAAGAGCTAGAGTCACCAAACTTGACATATAGCTTCTAGATAGTAATAATATGCATTTGATGTTGGAAGAAGAGGGTTCAGGGTATTCCCTATTCGGGAGCTCCCGACTAGAAACTCTTACTTGTTTTTTTTTTTGCCAGCCAAGTTTCAGCCAACAATTTACTTGGCGGCGCAAATATTTTATCATTGCGCCTTTTCGCAGTCAAGTGGCGAGCCAGCCAGGACCTCAGCCAGAGGCAGGACCAGCTGCTCCTGCTCCTGCTCCTGCTCCAACTACCGCTGCTCCTGCTGACTGTTGCATTTAAGCGCTGTTTATGGCAACATTTTGCTGGTTTTCTTTTTCTGGAGGGTATTATAAATATGAAAGACACAGAAAGAGGCGTAAAGTTTATATATATATGTTCTTGATCAGTATCTGTTGCCATGAAAAATAGTCTTAAAGATTGAATCTTCTTTCTTGTCACATATATCGGATCCGGCCGGAATCATATTTGTCAGCTACTTTTTGGATTATTAAATGTAAATATAATCTCGGAAGGGTATTTAGTTATCGGGTATTCATGTTTTGTTCCTAGCGCTTGCTACAACAATTTTGTAGTTACTTTCTACCAGTAACTATTTAGCAGTTACTTTTTACCAGCTACTATTTACCAGCTACTTTCTACAAGCTACTATTTGCCACCTACTTTTTACCAGCTACTTTTTGCCAGCTACATTTTGACAGTTACTTTTACCAGCTACTTTTTGCCAGCCACTTTATAACAGCTACTATTTGCCAGCTACTTTTAGCAGCCACTTTTTCTATATACTTTTTGACAGTTACTTTTTACCAGCTACATTTTACCTACTTACTTCTCACCAGCCACTTTCTACCAACTACTCCTTGCAATTTGTTGCACACAGTTTCTGGCTATTTAAATAAAAATTTATTAGCATAGTTTTTCGTATTAGCCTGCGGGCACATTTCAATTGAACAATTTGCAGTGCTTTGCAGCTGATTGCCATCTAATGGAGCTATCATTTATGGCCAACTGATGAGCTGAAAAGAACTTGATGCCGAAATTGACTTTTGGCCCGTTTTGCCTCAAGTTTCGCCATTGTGAGTTGAGTTGCAAAATTAATGAGCTAGCAAAAATGTGATTTCAATTTATAGATTATGACCCTCAAGAGCGCCAGGTTGGCTCCATGCAATTGTCAATGTGCATAATTTATAACGAGAACAGAGAAAAAAAAGAAAAGAGAGAAAGAAATCGAAAATAAAAATCCGATTAGTTCAGTTGATGCTGTGTCCTTGGCCGCTCCTCAAGCACTTCCTATGCGGGTCACGTAGCGTTCATGTCCGATTTTTAAGTTTGCGCTGCACAAATCACGTAACCCGACCATTCCACATGGGCGGTTGGGCGTCAAGTGGGCGTGGCATTAGCACAACAACGCTCTAATGTCCTACTTGAGGCTATTTGTAGTGCACTTTGTGTGGATTTTTATGATTTGTTTAGCCACCAACACGAAGACGTGAGCCCAATGTGAGGAAACTATGAACTCAGATTAAGGCTGCGTTAAAGAAATTAAATATATATAACATGTTAGATTTTTCTTTGGGGGATTTTGAGGGTTTCTCTGATAGAAATTAATAAAATATGCAAACTTTCTTTCGATCCATGAAGCTAGACAAACGCATAATAATAGCAAATGACCCGCAAAATCTTAAATTAAGGGTCCAAGTGGGTTCGAACCTCGTCTTCCAAGACTTCTTTCGACCTTTAGTATTTGAAAGTTGGCTTCAAAAGGTTTCTCTGGCTCTTGAAATCTGGAAAACTGAGAAATAGATATAGATAAATAGAATAAGTAATCAAAATCTCAAACTTAAGGTCCAAATGGGTTTGAACCTCGTCTTCCACACCAAGCGAAGCTTAGAAGACTTTTCGAATTTTATTTATTAATAAAGAGAGCAGCATTTATCAAGCTAAAGCTGAGAATAATAAGATAGAGGGTTTATATTTTTGGGATTATATATTTTAGTGAGAAGTTCGAACCCGCAACTTTCTGCTCAGCAACTTCAAAAGTCTCTATTAAAAATATCTTTTATTGAATGCAAGCTCTTAGAAATAGTTGAACAAGCAGTGAAAAATAACAGTCTAGTAGCCCCAATGGGTGCCGAATCCATCGAAGCTCATGTGGGAAACGGTCTCCGCGGGCGAGTAATGAACCACGACGGGCTGATGGCTGGCATAGCTGGCCTGGGCAGCTGGAATGTGCTGCTGCTGCTGCTGCTGCTGCTGATAGACGGGCGCTAGTGGAGCTGCCTGGGTGAAGAGCGTGGGCTGATGCGTTGCATAGCCAACGGAGACGGGCGCTGGAGCGGCATAGCTGAGGCTCTTGGCAATGGCCGGCTGGTAGACATTGTTGCTGATGCGCGTGTCCTGCTTGTGCACCTGGGAGTAGGGCGTGGCCACGGACTTGGCATAGTGCGAGACGGTGCCATCATAGCTCCTGACCACATGCTGCTGTGTATGCGCCACGGCGTGCTCATCGCCCAGATAGCTGATGCCCGCCCAGGCGGGCGAGAGTAGGAGCAGCAAAGTCAGTGCCAGGATTTGGTGTGCCATGTTGAAGCTGTAAAAGAAGTCGACGATCAACTGTTGCTATTTTCTAGCCTCAGCCCAGTCTTATAAATAGGTAAACGCACCACGCACCACGCACTGTGGCCCGGTCGATTACTCATGTGTTGGCCCAGTTTGCGGCGTGACTTTCATAAATCCATTTCTCTATCTCGAGATCGTGGCAAATCAATTTACCCAACACAATGTGACAGCAAATGGAGGGCGTGTCACCGGATCACTTATTGCATAACAACAACCAACAATTGTTCGGCTCACCTGCTCCACATTTCTCTTCTACCTGGCCGCTGAAGTGCCCTCAAGCGCTGACCATGCCCCAAAATGTAAGAGCCAGCACAATTTATGGCCCATCGGAGATGCATTAAGCCCGGCAAATTGTTAATGCATCTCGACGAGCACGAGCTCAACTGCTTCGAGATGTCTTTGCGTATATCTGGGCCAAAGCATCATAACAATGGATTCACAAGCCCCAAAATTCCCTTTCAGTGCGAGCAGCACATTTGTTTATATCAGCTTGCATCATATTAAGGTATTTGCTCAAAAGTTCTTATTGGTCACATTTGTGATTCTTATTGGAATTAAGTTGCATAAAAGTATATTTAAGTTCTTTTTATATCAGCTTGCAGCATATTAAGAAATTGCCTTGAAAGTTCTTAATTGTCATAGCCCAATCTTATTGGAATTGTGTATTTTTTTATTTCTTATTAGACACTGAATAATCTCCAAAATGGAATCGATAGAGCAGCTTCGTATAGCTTTAAAAAGCTTGACTTGACTTTATTTACACAAAGTTGGCCTTAACTCGACTTAATGACGTCCTGTTTTAGATAATAATTGAAATATCTTGGCTAAAACATAAAAGAGGCATTCTTTTATATATAACTAATATAGCCTTAGCCTTAGGTTTCTGAGCGTTGAACTAGCGAGCGACAAGTTGCTGGTTCAAATAAGCAGTAACTATTGTCTATTTTGTTTATATACGTCTTTTTTATAGTAAGCCTTAGCTAAGCTTTCTAAGCGTCGAACTAGCAAGCGAGAGGTCGCTGGTTCAAATGAAGCAGTAACAACTGTCTATTTCTTTTATAAATGTTTTTATTTGGCATTGGGCTTACAATTCTTATTTTAACATATAAACTTAATTCTGCATGCAACATTTTGTAGAGTATTAACACTTCGTATAGTTTCGTGCTGTTACGCTTGCCGCAGCTGAATGCAAGTTTTTGCTATTGTTGCCTACTCAATGGCCCGGCACTCGAATAGTAGAGGAGTCCATTCGATACTTCCATTCGATACCATAAAAATCGCTCAACTACAATTGAGTTATAATCCAATTGGCAAACGTAAAGCAAATGTTGTTAACTTGCCAAAGACAGCAAGTAGGGGCAAGGGAGGGGGTAACGGTAAGAGCAAAGAGAGAGAGAGAGAGAGAGAAGTATAAAGAAGCATAGTTCGTTTTCAAGTAGAAATTCGGGCACATTGTTGCCTTGACCGTCTGCAAAAGTTTTGCGCAATGAAAATGACACATAAATAGCATCAACATTCAGGATCTGGGGAACACAAACGTGATTACGATTACGCTCAACTTCGGCAAGGAGTCACCTTTGTTTGTTGATGACTTTTGCTTGATTTGTGTGTGTGTGTGTGTGTGCGAGTCCATTATGGCTCTTATGAAATTTGGCACATAAATTGTATTATTGCATTTATGCTTGATTTTATTTCCGTTTGCCTTACAATTGCCATGCGATTGTGTGGGCGCTTAACTGCCTTACTGTGCATGTGTGTGCGAGTGTACGTGTGTGTGTGTGTGTCTGCCTTTGTATTGACTGTTAAATTGGCTTTAGTTGCTTTTACGTCGCTTAAGTGAATTTTCTGTGAATTCGTCTTCGTCTGCCATTTTTTTGTTCGCCTGGTCACACTCACTCATGTGTGTGTGCGTGTGCAAGTGTGTGCAACATCATTTGAACGGTTTCCTTGGCTAAGCGCCTTACTCAATGCCCGAGCACAATTTGAACTTCAATTAGCTGCATTGGCCACTTAACCTCACTCTCCCGATCTCGCCCACTCTCACGTGCGCTCTCGCCCGCTCTGCCACTCTCCCACTCTGCCACTCTCCCACTCTCTCTATTGTATACAATTACAAATGACGCGCCAGCGCCAGGCCGAAAGTCAATTAACGGGACTCGCATAAAAGCTCCACGCGCCTCGTCTGCTAATTGGAATTGAAACATAAATTAAAAGTCAAAGACGAAAACGAAAATGAAGACGAAGACGAAATTGTGCGAAGGCTGAATGCAACTAAAACTTTACGACTTCTCTGCGCGCACACATGTGCGACGGCATGTCTGTGTGTGTCTGTGTGCTTGCCAGTGTTGGTCAACAACTGTGCCATTTTTACGTATTGTCGTAATGTGCAGCAATTACGTTAGTTTGCCATTGTTTCCATTGTTGTTTTTTTTTTTCGTTTCTGCTGTTGCGGGCGCATTGACAGCTTAGATTAAGTGTTGACTATAAATTTTGCGGTTCGGCTTTTAGTTCTCGCCCGAGTTGGCGATATTTATGAGGCCAATGCAATTGCCACTTGCAACTGGAAATTATTTACCAGCAATTACAAGTATGAGCCGTAAAGCATATTGCAGCCAATCAACTAACCAACCACACGCACACAAGCACACACACGCACAGACACGCACACAAGCACACACGCACACAAGCACACACACTTACAATTTAGCCTTCATATTAACCCTTATGTTAGCTGTGTGTCTATATTTAACCCCAGTTTATAGATTTATAGTTTTTGTGTATTCCATCTTATCTTTATGCGTATTTTTTTTGTAGCTTTGCTCAATCTCTTTGATTGAACCGTTGCAATTCTCAACAAGTTAAGGCTGCAATTGCAAAGGGCTCTCATCTTAACCCTTATGTGAGATATGTGTCTATGTTTAACACAGTTTTGTTTTGCTTTGGTCACTTTGTTCAATCTCGTTGATTGATCCCTTGCAATTCTCAACAAGTTAAGGCTGAAACATACATATATTTTAAAAAAAAAAAAATACTTTCCCAGCAGAAATATCCGTTCTCTTAGGGGTTAATGCCGCGTTTTGGTTTCCCGGGTGTTATATTGCCAATCAGCTGCCCTCTGTCTTGGCCTTAGACACAAGCAACCCCTGCGCCAGCCCTATTTGCCACACCCCCCGCCCAATGCCCCCTCCCTCTGCCCTTTGGCTGTGTTGGTGTGTTATGGCACAAAAGGGAGTTGGCTTCAATTTTCTTTATATTATAGCCTGATTTAATTTGACGTGAGACTTTGGAGCTGCACTGCCCGTTCTTGACCGTCACGTGAAATGAGAAAATGCCAGGAAAAGCGTCGGGGAAAATCGAAAAAGTTGGCCAAGCAATGATTACAACTTACATTCAATGCGTTGAAATTCAAATTTCATGAATGAAAATATTAACAATAACAAAAGTAAAAGTCATTTGCCAGCTGCCAGAAGCACGACAACAACAACAACAACAACAACAATATCCATTTAGAGAGCGGCTGCCTGATCTCCCGATTGATATAATTTCATTAAGTCCCTCCCCCTCAAAAAAAAAACCAACTGCCAAGCAATTATTGTTGTTTTTTATTATATTTTTTTCCGCTCTGTGACATTCTCAGGGAAATGTCAGCGAAGGCGTCATGCTCACATTTGGCGCCCTTTGCAACACTGTCAGAACCAAGTTTTGTGGGGAAAAACACGAAAATATACAAAACAAATAGGAAAACGGGCGGAAAAAAAAAAGAAAAGATAATGAAAATTAAAATGAAAATGCATAAACAGAGTTTTGTAAAGGGGGGGGGGGGGGGGGGGGGGGGGGGTAAGGGGGCGTGGCGCGAAGTGTCGAAAACTCATTAAAACTTTTTTACAGCCCATTTAAAAGCAATTTGTAAATTGCAAGGCGTTAAGTAAAGTGTACAAATTATTAAATATTGCCCCACTGACAAAATGTGCCAAAATAAACATAAATAAATAATAATAATATAAAATATTTATAAGCTTTGCAAAGGAATTATAGATATATTAAAGTCTTTACTATTTAAGCATTTCATCTTAGCACAATTTGTGCCCCCTTAAAAATATTCGGCAATCATTTTGAGCTCGTGGAACTCACAATCGCCGACATTAAATCACATTTCCGCACATTTCTTGGGGTATAAGAAAAATTGTGTTAGCCCCTTTTCCTCCCCTTCTCGCTGCGGCTCTGCCACTTAAATATTCAAAGCAAAAAGTTGTTCTACACCTTTTGCTTTGCCTGGTTTATTTCTTATTATTCATGCGGCGCCTTTTTTCTGTGTGCAGTGCCCAAAAAAATTCCCACAGGATGCAACTCAAAGCCGACGTCGCAAAGGGGCCCGGGCGGGTTACCTTTGGCCCGCGGTTGGGTTAATATATGCGGTGAGCACGTCAAGTGTTTTTGTGGACGCGCAAGTAAACATTTTACTTGTGCACATGTGAAGGAAACGAATAATAAACGCGAATGCGCTGAATTTGTATTCAAATATATGAGACTTTCGCGCCAAGTGGCAGCATGCTAGGGCTGCAGCGCAACGACAGGCTTGCCAGATACTTGGAAACTTTCTAGTTGCTCTGAATATATTTTCAAATATGCGCGCCAAGTGTCAGCCAAACAGGGCAATGAGAGCCTTGCCAGACTATTTGAAAGAGCAAACGATAGTTGGCAGCTGGTCGATGTATCGTTTGATGTGCAAGATTTTTGTAATGTGCCCGTATTGTTTTTATTTTTAATACCAATTTGGTAAATTCCAAACAAATTGTATACAGTATATTTTGTAAAAGCAGAAGTTAAGAATTCTCAGTCGCAGCCGCTAGCTATTTTTGTGTAATTGTTTGTCAAAATTTACCTGATATATATTTCGAATTAGTTGCTTGGAAAACGCCTGGCATACGGTGCAATTGCGACATAGCGGCTTTGACGATTCGCAATCGCATGAAAATCAAACAAAAATCAAAATAAAACAAGAAGAAAAAAAAAAAACGCACACTTGGCTACACCGGATTGGAAAACACAGCGCAAAAATAGTGTGAGAGTGAGAGTGAGAGCAAGGGCGAATCCGTATCCGAAACCGATTCCGAATGCGAACGCGAATGCGATTCGATTGGCAGAAACGACACAACGATAGCCATCGCACATCGGCACGGCACCGATTTTCTTCTTCCACCCGCGCCGTTCCCGTTGGCAGCCAGCAGCTAGCCAGCCGTCTGTTTTAAGTATTTTTGCAGTCAAAAGAAACTAATTGAACAGCATTTGCGCCGCAATTGACAACACGGGCTAATTACAATACAGACGGCCGAAAAAATGTTAATAAACCTAAAGGTGAAAACTCTAGATGCTCGCACACACGACTTCAGCATCGACAATGAGGTAAGTGTGTGTGTGTGTGTGTGGTATTTTTTTTTTTTTTTTGAGGTTGTGGTATGACCAGAAGCTTCCAAAACCGCTTTTCTTTGACCAATTTTTACAGTTAACCATACGGCAGTTCAAGGAGCAGATTGCGGAGAAGACGAACATCGCCGCGGAGAACCAGCGCATCATCTACCAGGGTCGCGTGCTGGCGGATGACAAGCAGGTCAAGGAATACGGTGAGTCATCTGCACACACAGTTTTGGACACACTCATTAATGCCCTGCCCTGTTCCACTCTCTGCCAGATGTGGACGGCAAGGTGCTGCACGTCGCCGAGCGTCCGCCGTTCTCGCAGCGCGGCGCCAACGCCACCAACAACGATGAGCCGATGCGTGGCTTTCGCGGCATGCCCGGCCGGCCAACGCCGCGCAATTTGCGCAATGCACCATACTTCCGGGCACTCGATGGCATGCTGGTGGGCACCATGGCCATACCCGTAAACAACGGACCCTTGACCGCCGCCGGAGTAAGTCTTGACCCGCAGCGCGCCTCGTTTCCTTGTCTTATCTCTGTTGCAATCCCTTGCAGGCACGGACACCACCGAATCGCTTTCCGAACTCGTCGTCCTTTTGCATTAATCGCATTACCGTTGCCCAGCACATGATCGACTGTGCCAACAATATAGCCGCCTATCTGGAGAATCCGGAGATCGGTCTGAACAATCAGCCGTTGGATATACTGCAACGCGGTCACTGGACCATGGAGTCCACTGTGGTCGAGGTCGGCGTCTCCTCGACGGACTTGCCGCGCAACAATAACATCATCGACATGGTGCAGGATGCGGTCACCGCGGCCCTCTCCCGCAATACGCCCGGCCGCAACTACACCGTAGTGCAGCTGCCCACGGTGTACACCAACGAGGAGGGCGAGCAGCAGCAGCAGCAGCGCTCGACCCAGGCCGGCGGCAGCAGCGAAGGCGCCGCCAGCGGCGCCGTGGCCGGCAGCGATACCAGCGAGGAGACGACAGCCGCTGCTGCGGTCATCATTGAGGATGTGATCGAGACTGACGACGAGGCTGCTGAGGGTGCCGGCACGCCGCCAGGCGAGGACGAGCGTTCCAACTCGCCACAAGCAACTGATGGAGCAGCAGGATCAGCGCCAGCTACGGCAGGAGCTGCCGAGGACAATGCCACCAATGCGGCGGCGGCGGCAGCAGCAGGCATTGGTCCGCGTCGTCGGACCCGGCCTCAGGTGCTGGCGAGTGTCTTCCAGCGCTATCGCAGCGTGGAGACGCGCTTGTCGCCCTTCCTGGATCGCTACTACGAAATACTGCAGCAGGATCCCAACTTCGAGGAGCAGGACACGGCTGGCCGCGAGAACGCCCAGCGCATCTACGATCGCGTCTCAGAAGCCTTGCACTATCTGTCCCATGCCCAGCACGCCATCTCGGATCTGATGCTGGACCTCTCGCAGCCGGGCCCGCGCGTGCTCACCTGCCGGCCCATACTCGTCGAGCAGAGCGGCTACATACGCTCGAACAACATATTCACGCCCAATCTGGTGGCCACGCCGCTGGCCGAGCTCATCGCCCAGGTGCCGCCGGCCCAGGGTGCCGCTTCGACTGCGGCGACAGCTGCAGTTGCCACACAGCAGCCGGAACAGCTGAGCATGGAACAGCAGCTGGAACTGGACTCATATGCGCGCGCTGTCCGAGCGGCCGTTCCCTTGCCACTTGCTGCCGCCGCAGCAGCTCCCGCTCCGGATCAGTCGCAGAACCCGCCAAGCGAACAGCAGCAAATGGATGAGCTCTATGCACGCGCTTTTGCGTTTCCAAGAGGAACTTCTCTGCCACGTGCCGCCGCAGCTGCCACAACTCCAACACAATCACAAACTGAGCCGGAGCCTGTCGCTAGCGATGACGCAATGGCCGCGGGCGTGGCTGAGGCAGATGCTGCAGCTGCTGTCGTTGCTGGCCTTTTGACGCGCAACAACGACAACGTCGAGGATCCCGTGGATGAGCCCATGGTGGCGCCAACAAATGCCGCTGCAGCCGCTGGCGCCCAGCCGCAGCCGCGCTCCGAAGTGGGCGAAATGGGTGAGTCCAAATCTTGAATAGATGCAAAAGCAACTGCACGGAAAGAAAACCTTCCTTAACTAATCCCCTGTCGATCTTCTCCAGATGAGCGCGAGCAGCATTTAGCTGAGGGCGATGCAGCACCCAGGCCCAGGTTTCGCCTGTATATGCCCGTGCCCATGCCACCGCCCAGTAGGTCCAATCCTTTCGCCTTTCTTAAGCTCCGCTTGCCGTTGATTTCTAATCATGCTTCCAATTTCCCGCATTGGCATCTAACTGAAAATCAATTCAATTGAAAGCTCAAGCCCTAATCTGTTGTGTTCCTCTTGTTGTTGCTCTACTAATTGCCTCCTGGAGCACCTCTTGACCTCCTGGAGCACCTCCCTGCTGCGCAGTTGACTTTTGTTTTATTTGAATTCCATTTTTATAACACTTCTTCGCCTGCTTGCAGATCCGCACGTGCAGATGGCCCGCTTGATACAGGCCGTGGTTAATAGCGCCACAAACGATACGGATCTGCGTCTGGAGTTCAATGTGCCCAATGTGATGTCCATCAATTTGCCGGTGCATGTGATGACCGCTGCTGTGCATCCACAGGGACGCCCAGCAGCTGCCACCGACAGCACTGGAACTGCAACTGCAACTGGCGATGCGAATGCAGCAGCAGCTGCCGGTGCAACACCACCAGCTGCTCCCGGTGCTGCTGCTGCCGGTGCGCCTCCAGCCGCTGCATCCACATCGAGCGGCACACGCAGCGGCGAGCAGCGGGCAAATACATTGCCCACAACGGCCACGCAGACTCGGTCGACGTCCCGGCCGCAGATACAGATTGGCGGCAATAACAATTGGGCCGGACGCATTGCGCCCACGCACACCGCATTCGATCGCTTTTTGCCCTGCAACAGCCATCATATACGCGAGCCCGAAACGCTGATCCAGCACAACAACAACAACAATAACAACAACAGCAACAACATCATCAACACGAGCACGAGCAGCAATCGAAGATCGGCCGCAGCAGCAGCCGGCAATGCAGCGGGTGAGTCTTATGTCCTAGCCTAGAACCTCAAATCGCTTAGTCTTAGTACGAATAAGTGTATATCTGTATATATATATAGTCTCTATATAGAGAGAGAGAGCCGTAGTTATGTCTCGGGCACTGCACGGCTTCGCCTCGCCACGTTGTTTGCTTTCCTCCTCATCCTAACATCATTCACCAGAGATGTAAACCGGGTTTTTATTGTGCACAAACAAACAGAACACAAGAGTACAAATCCAAAACAAAGCGTTACGCAACAAATTTCATTAGAACCAGCGACACCTGATCCTCAGTTTCCAATCTCTCAGTATTAAATAAATATAATATCATATACACATAATAAAATACAGTGGACCTCCGACAGTTAGCACTTCTAGAAAGAAGCAAAATGTGCAGATATTTAACTAATCGTCAGTTTTAAGCAATTCTGAATATGAAATTGTTGTGTGTATCAAATTGCCCGGCTATGCGCGGGCGAAGTATTTATCGATACAATTTTAATTAGTTTTCCTTTCATTTGAGCGAATATCGTTGAAATGCGTATTCATATATTTAAATATTTTGAAATGAATTTTAAGAAAGTTCTATCAAAAAAATATTTAACCAACAACAAAACTTATTTCAGTAGCTTTCCACTTATCTTTCACCCTTGTTGGTGGAATTGTCGAAAACTACATATTCATGTATTTTATTTTCAAGAAATATCGTTTTTAAAAAAATGATTTTACAAAAAAAAACTTTAAGAGTTTTCCACTTAATTTCCACCCTTGCTGGTGGAAATCACGAAAATGACTGTGAAAATTGAAGTTTTTCCCCCAATTGCGACTTGTACTGTGCGTCAATCAATGCGTCAGTCAGTCAATCAAAACCACCAGCTTTGTAAATATATAGAAATTTGTATATCTGAAAGCGAAGTTCGCTTTTCGAATGAATTGAATTGATTTATGTTCAATTATATACGATACAAAAAGTGCATCGTCGCATATAGAGTCCTAATGGAGGTATCGGATGGAAGCTTAGAATATAATATATAATTAGTTTATCAACAACAGCAGCCGACCCTTAGACTGTCTGTTTTCACACATGCTAGTCTCACAGGATTAAGGATATCTTCATGGAACATAGCCTAGACACGTCTGGCTTTCGTATTCTTCTAAAGAGAAATGCAGATGGTACTAATATTTATATAAATATTCTACCAACAATCACATAAATCCAAATATAAGTCACAGGACAGGCGAGTGGAGCCTTCGACCAATTCAACGAATCCAAAAGTAGCCGTGTAACACACACAGAAACACACTCACACAGTCACACACACTCACCCACACACACACATACACATACACAGATAGGAATCTTAGTCGGTGGCCGGTTTGCATCTCTGTCATCTAATTTGCATTCTATCCGTGTCATCATAGTCATCGCTAGTCGCTTGCCGCCGCGTAGCCAGAGCGGCACGAGTCTCGCGCGTCCAATGTCGTCGCGTCGACGTGCCGCCATCAGCCGTGAGAACCGAAGCGGAAGCGTGCCGGGAATGGCAACCGTTGCTAATGCCGCTGGTGGTGGCGGAGGTGGAGGTGGAGGTGGTGGTGGCGGTGGGAGCAGCGGTCCAGCTGCGAGCAGCAATGCGAGCTACACGCTCAATCGCCGTGCTCTCCCGCCGAACGTACGGCCCATGCAAAGAACCATATCCAGACTTATATCCGCTATGTTTGACAATTTTTTGGTAACTAATATGAGAAATCATGCGCAAACAGCTTTGGCCGGCAATGTGACCGCCAGCAACAACGCCGCCGGCAACACTGTGGGAGCCAATCCCACCGTATCCTTATCCGCAGCATCAGCTGCAGACGCTGACCTGTCCGGCACACCGATTGCCGGCAACAGCGTGACCAGCCTCGGCCCAGTCACATCAGCGGTACAAGTAGCAGCGGGAGCAGGAGCGGGAACAGCTGGAGGAGCAGCAGCCACTGTTGTGGTCAGGGAGCAGTCGAGCGATTTGCGTGCCCAGCTGCGCAGCTTTCTGAATCACAGCGTCTTCGAGGGTGCGCCCATTAACGAGGAGACGATGCCCTCGGCCATTGGCCGCGCCCTGGACTGGTTTGGCGACAGCCTGCTCTATTTGCCGCAGTACGAGCGGCCGGAATACAATTCACGCGATTCGGTGTGCAACACGCTGCGCCAGAGCCTGCGCCTGGTCATCGAGCTGTGCTACAGATCCAACAGCTGCGGCAGCCACTTCGAACAGCAGCTCAAACAGATCTGCGAGCAGTTCCGCAAGCGACTCTACAGCGTGCTCTTCCTGTGCCTCGGCAGCGTCAATGCGGAGCTTTATTGGCGCCAGCTGATGCGGCTGCTCTGCGTGCCACTGCGCTCAAGTGAGTGAGCTCCTTGTAGGCTGTTTCAACAACCAAAACTAATTGTGCCTGATCCTCTGCAGATTTCCGCAACGAAGCCTTGCAGTTTCTGTGCATCTACATTGATCCGACAATACCGGCGCACACGGACACCGCCGATGCCCAACAGTTCCTGGTGCTGCGCGATGCTCAGTTATCGCTGCCCTTAGATGTAAGTCAGGGAGAGAGTGGCCCGAGTGGAGAGGGTAGGGGGTAGCGTCTCATTCGCAACTAATAGCAGCCTTTTGTGGCGCCGCCGCCGCTTGCATTTCATCCACAGCCGCTGCAGCAGCAGCAACAGCAGTCGCCGCCGGCAGCGCAATCGCTCGATAGCGACATTGAAATGGCCGAGGTGGCCAGCAGCAGCAGCAGCAGCGCCTCAGAACTGGAGCCAGCATTGCCCGCCGTGACGGTCGGCTCGGAGCCCTGGCACAACAATTTCCCCAATGACTGGCTGCCTGTGATAACGCGGGATCTGCAGACCCAAGCGGAGGTGAGTGACAGCACCATTGACAACCGGTTCGCCTAATCAATCTCATCACCTGGCCTTACAGCAAAACCGGCCACAGCCGCCGTACTCGGATGCCTACATATCGGGCATGTCTGCCAAGCGCCGCAAGATCATCCAGTCGGAAAAGCCGCCAAATGTTGAGTGTCTGATCGCCAGCGGAGTGCAGCGTGCCTTACAGAGCACCGGTCTGAGCGGACCGAACGGACCCGGCGTCAATACGGCCGTCAATCCGGATGTTGTGATCAATGCCATTGCACATGACGCTGTCGTTCAGTCATCCTACACAGAGGCCGTGCGCAGCAATGCCCGGGAACGCCTTAAACAGGACATCGATTACAAGCCGGGCAAATATCCGCAGATCGCCAAGTTCACTGAACAGAAGTAGCTGGCGGGTAGGCGGGCGATTAGTGCTTAGTGCTTTATTGTAAATGTTACTTTAACTAAAATATTGTATTTAATTTAGTTAATTGGATAAGTTCTGTTTAAAAGCGGCTCGATTGCAGCCTGACCAAAAGGCGGTCCATGCAGTCACATCAAGTGCTCGGGAAGTGGATGCTGCTTCGATTCAATACATATATATATATATATACATATATATAACTATATGTATATATATATCTATATATATATATATTACAAATACACATATATTATTAACTGCAAAACTACACGAAATTGAAGGTCGAAACATTTTAGGACAACTCTGCATTAAAGAAGAAAGCTAAATAAAAGTACATAAATAAATTAAGCCACAAACTAAGTTAATTATCGGCCAGTTTAGCTATTTTCAAGCTTAACTTGGCTATTTTCAAGTGTCAACAGTTAATATTTCAAGCTCATTTAGCTATTTTGTTGCATTTTAACCTTATTGTTGCTATAAGCGAACATAGCTATTTTTGGCTATTTTTGACACTGGCTTCAGCTATTTTCTGCAGAGGTAGTTGGTCACACTGCTGGCTGTTTGGCATTTGGCTCAATTGATCGATGGCGTCCCCGTGTCGGATGACGCAGTGGCCACACTGGCCAGCAGACAAAGCCGTGACGACAAACAAATTCCAGCCAAATATTTTAGCCGCAATTAACGCGGCCAGGCCCCATTGACGTGCACGGATTGGCCAGATACGGGGCTTGGCCACATGATCATTTCCGTTATTGATCTCTGGAATTTGCAGCATCTTGCTCGAGTGGCTAAACGAGGAATGCGCCGTAAATTGTCCATTCATATTACAACAACTATCACAAGAAAATATAACAACAAATTCATGCCACATGACTTGATAATGCTACGGCATCTGGCCATAACGGCACAACTTGACGTTTCCATTAAATATGATAAAAAAAAAAAAAACACGAAAAATTTGTCACATAAAAATGTTGAAATTATTTATGTGGCAGGCACAAAAATCGGAATAAGTAATAATTAATATTTGTTGTTGATTTTGTTGGCTTTTTAAATATTTTCTGCTTTAATACTGGGCATGATTGAAATTTAAAAATAGCCCATCTACGCAATCGTTTCGTATTTTTAATACGAATACGATTAATCGATTATACACATACATACATACATGCATATATCTAGTTGTCGCAAGGGGGCGTGTAACGGTCACACTAAAAATAACCCTGTCCTTATTTGCCCCTCTCTCTCTCTCTCTCTGTGTGCGTGTGCGTGTGTGTGTGTCATCAAGCCGAGACCGAGATCGAGTCCGAGTGGCACTCTTGCAACAAGCCACAAGAAAATTGCCACTTGCCGGCAGCCAATGATTAATTGCAGTAGCAGCAGCAGCAGAGGAGTGCGGCGGGCAAGGGCGATGGCGCAGGGGGGGGGCGGGTGGAGGCACCCGGCCTGGCTGGCTGGCTGCCTGCGTTGGCACGCGCATTGCAGCCGCAGGAATTCGGTGAGGAATTCGCGGCGACAGACGGCATTTTTTAAGGGGGCTTTGGTTAATTATGTATGCGCTGTGCCCAGCAATGGCAACGGCCAGAACTTCAAAATAAATTAAGGCTGCGGACTTTGATGCATGGTGCAGGCTGCTGCCGCTTGCCGCTTGCATCTCTCTCGTTTTAATGTGGCGCCTGCAATGAGGTGGCGCCAGTTGCCCCACAGTAGCCTGACAGTGGGCAATTATTGTTGATTTATTTACGAGTACGTTGGACATTTTTCGGCTGCAATTAAATACCAAATTAAATACTAAGCTCTGCTTATCGATAATCGATATGTCGATAGCTCAAAATGGCAAACTAAGCACCGTTAATGCAGTTTTGCATATGTTTAGCTAAATGTTGAGAACGTTGCACGCTCTTCAAATACCCTGTAATTGTTGGGTAACGTTAACGTATGCGAAATGTTGAAACCGAACAACTATAAACATTAACTGTTTACTTAAGCTCAGTTTATAAATTTACATCTATACGGTCAAAGGTCTAAAAGTTAATTTAATTTAATTTAAAAAGAAAAATAATCACTGTTCAGATATGTTTGCTAGTTTCTAGTAGATGCAAGCAGCTGCCATTGTATGCAAGCATATACATCTATGCAGGGTATTTAATTGGTCTGCCAAATGTGCACAATCTATACGCATGATTATCATCGATGAGGCGGCGCAGCAACAACAACAACAACAACAACAACAAGAACAACGGGAACAACAAATCATAACAAGCCGGCTCATTCAGTTGACGTGCTTGAGGCACTTCAAGCTTGTGTGCGTGTGCGTGCGTGTGTGTGTTTTTTTTTGTGTGCAGTTGGAACGTCATAATTGAAAACATTACTCAAAGATGCGAAAGATAAAGAGACTGCGTAAACATATGTAAAGACGAATGGAACAGCGCAGCGCATGTGGCGGCCGTTAACATGTGTGCGTGTGTGTGCGTGTGCGTGTAAAGGACAATTTAACAGCAGTGCGTAAGTGTAGAAGCCAACAACAACAACAAGAAGAAGAACAACAACAACAGCAGCAGCAACGAGAACAGATGTAAACACATGATGATGATAATGATGCCCCATACATAGATATACGAGATAGGCGCACCAATGCACAGCCTGTTGCTTAGGTTCCTGAGAAATCAGCCGAGCAGCTCGCCCAACTCAACTTACAACATGATGCACATGTGGCTGCAACAACACCCCAACCCGCTCAAAGGGGGCAAACTGAACAGACAGCGGCGCCGGCGCCGACTTCAGATTGAGATTGACGCCTGGCGCCGCACACAGGAACACATCTAATTGAGTGTTGGCGCTGCTCAATTGCACAGGTAACAGCAGCAGCAGCAGCAGCAGCAACATTTTGTGGCAATACCAAAAGAAAAGCAAAGCAAAGCAAAGCAAGCGCCAGTTTTTGCATTCAAAAACGCGCTCAAAGTTCTACAGCAGCGCGGCCGCCGCCGCAGCAGCAGCAACAGCAGTTGGCGTCGACGTCGACGTCGCTGTCAGCGTCGCCGCTGCCGACGCAGCCAGCATACGGATCCTCAGCGTTTTCATTATTTTTCCCAGTCGCAAACGGACCGTGTTGGGCTAAAGACGTGAACATCGGGTCTAGAAATCGCTAGTGCTAAAGAGAAGCAACAAAATCAGTCAAAAACAAATACAATAAATAAACGAAAAACGAATAAAATAATAAATAATACTATATAGAAAACGACTTCACACAAACTCGCTCAAAACTCGCGGTTTTTCGAAAAGCAAAACAAATATAAAAAATAAAATTGAAAAAACAACAACAACGACAACAACAATACGGTGCGTGCATGTGTGTGTGTGTGTTATATTATTTTTTTTTGTTTTGTTCTTAGAAGATTAAGAGGTCAACCAAACGATTGAGCGAACGAGAGGCGAGAGTGCAGTCTCCACAAAAAAAATAAAATAAAATATAAATATATATATATATACAAAAACAAAAACATATTCATCTCACATCTGTACAATCTGAACTGTGTGCGGGTTTTTGAAAGCGCGTTTTTGAGTGAAATCCGATGCCGCCTACGGCCTGAAAAGTGCTTGAGATTTCAAAAGAATCTCGCAGCGAGAGCGAGCGAGAGGCAGACAGGGCGTGAGGGAGTGGAAATCAGAGCCACATACATAAGCATGGAAACTCCCGCACATATGTTCGCAACGCGCTAACAATTTTCCCACGCACACGGAAAACCGAAGCATAACATTTTTCCGACCGCCCGCTGCCGCTGGTCCAGCCCAAAAGTCCTGTGTGCCGAACTTCAGCCCTAGGCGTATCGTAAAGGCATATATAATAATATTGATATTGAATTTTGTGCAAAGTGGTTTGAGTACGTTTCGCAACTGCGAGCAAAATGACTTCCCTGGTGTACGCCGTATTTCATATTGCAACGCTGCAATGCTCGGTACGGCCGGAGATATCGCCGTGCACCTGCGAAACGGGCAAGGCCTTCAATCACGTGGAGCTCTCCTGCGAGAAGCTGGAGTCCTTCAATGCGGTCGTCGACAGTCTGGCCAATAAGCTGAATCCCGACGTCAGCATCGATCTGAAGATAACCCATTCGCAGCTGGACGATCTGGAGATGAGATCATTTCGGGATATGAACTTTAATCTGTATAAGCTGCGCATGCAATGGAACGGACTCAGGTGAGTGTCGTTTGATTACTTTCATACCTTTGCTATATAGATGCTCACCCTTTCGCCCCCCTCCATGCCACCAATCAACTTAATTATCGGCTAGATTTCAAGGCCAGGCCTTTCCCCATATCTGGCGTACAGAATTTTCCGCTCGCTGTCTATCAATTTAGGTTCCTTAAACCCAATCAAAAAAAAGAAAACAACTCGAAAAATAAAAAACAACAACAAAATATACGAAAATACGAGTACAATGTACTTGCAATAAATAACAAATTTTAAGGAAAATGCGCTTCACGTGTTTACAGCCAATTTCTTGGATACTAAAACAACAACAATTATCAACTGAACTTAAATTGGGTCTCAATTGAGACCTGGGCGCAGGCGTCTAATTATGACCTGGCCTGCAAACTAAATGATTTAATTTCTCAATTAGGCAAGTTGCGCCGGCCTGGGATCTGGCAACTGGTATCTGCAATTGAGACGAATTACAACTAGTTTTTTTTTTTTTTTTTTTTTTTTTTTTTTTTTTTTGTGGCATTGCGACACGCGTTTACCAAAGTTTCCGAAAGTTTCCAAGTTCCCGCAGATTAGAAGATCTAGACGAAGCCAAACACAAACATTTCGCTTCGTGCTTCGATTAAATTTTGTTTTTTTTTCTCTCTCTCTCTCTGTCTTCTTTTTATTTTATTGATAATTGAAATAGCCGAGTGGACAGTGTCTTATCAATTTTCTATATAAATACGCTCTCCCTCTCTCTCACTCATACATGGCCGAGCCAATGGGTATATATAGTAATTCCCCAGAGACATCCGACGTATACTTAATGCGTATGCAAAAACTGATAATTGCAATTTTTATTCGATTCGGGCCTGGAGCGCCTGCGAGCGCGACTTGCACGTTTTCTCTGTTGGCTGCGACTCTGAATGAATTTCAATTGAATGCACACACGCACACACACACACACACCCACACACACACATTAAAAATAGCAAATATAAATAAATATTGACACACAATGAAACAATATTAATATATACATATGTGCACATTTAATATGCAGGCCTATTTCATAAGCGGGGTTCATTGATATTTGACTTTTGTCTCTTAATCAGCCGCAAAATCAAAAACAATAAAATATCAACAACAACAACAACGGCAGCAGCAATAAACATTCAAAACAATTATTGCCCGATATGTGCAAAGAAATTTCTCAAAAATAAAACAACAAATTGATTTAACTGCCAGTTAACTGACATCGGGTTATACAATTTCGCCTGACAACCGCTTTATCAGCGGGCCGCATCCATTTGTCAAACGTCAGCCAACAGTTGCAAAGAAAAAAATATGGAAAATGATTTAATTACTAGAGCCTAATCGAATTAGTGTTATATATGCCTACATACATGTTAGCTACACTGCGCGAAAATATGTCATGCTGCAAAAATAATTCAAATTTTGGTCGTATGAGAATTTCTTCAAATTTCTAGCAGGTTTTCTCTTTTCAAAATTTGTTACATTTGTTTTTTAATTAATTTAATTTAAATTTATTCAATTTCATTCAAGCAAAAACTCACTTTTTTAGGCGCAATAAATCGATTGCAATATTATTATACTTAAGATAATATGAGAATAATTTTATTATAATTATTCGATTTCTTAAGGCAAACATATATCAGATCTTGACTTATATTTGAGTATTACTTAACTGCTTTTTTTTTGACAACTCACTCGCGCATTTTTTTTGAGTGTAGCGCATATGCAACGCCGATTCGATTCGATTCGATTGCTCGCGGCGCGAGCGCGTGCTGCCGCTGCCTCTGCCGCTGTCGCTGCCCAGTGAAAACTTTTTACATTGATGTCAATTTAATATAATTGACCTATTGCCTTAATATCGCGCTCTGACCAAATCATGCCACAGGCCAGGCCACTTCAGCGAGTCAGCCAGGAAAACATACGCGCCGCTGCAAGTGAGTGTGTGTGTGTGAGTGTGTTGAGCGTGTGTGTATGTGTGATATGCTAATGAGTTCGTATCAACAACGCGTGGCCTTTCGATCGATGCTTTAACAAATAAAGCTTTCTTTCCTAGAAGCTTAGAAATCGAGTACTTCCCATTTGTTTTTATTGATAATAGCAATATTATCTTACTCATAATAATAATGTGCGATAAACAAGTTCAAACCCATGAGCTTAACTTTGGGCAACTCAGGCAAGCTGTTTAATTTAGAAATGTACCCAATTTTTCAAAAACCCGACCTAAAGCTCACTTTGCTCTAAGCTTACTTTCAGTCAGTCGATCAGGACAAACACTTTCTATATATGAATAGATTTATATTTATTTAAATAATAATGGCCGAGAATATGGGGATAAAATTAGAATACACTTTAATTCAATTCAATTTACAATCAAGATATATCTAACATATTTGGCAAGCATAAAGGCTAGCAAGAAGGAACTTTCCCTTTAAAGTTTCGATATGTTTCCTATATATGAAGCATATTTTAACTTCAAAGAAGCATACTTTAACTTCTAATAGTCAAAGAATATTGTTTAAAAAATCAACTTAGAAATTTTACACATTTTCAATGGGTTCAGAATATAAAAGAACAGTTTATAATTATGTTATTGATGATCATTTGTTGGGTTCAAAACATCTTTGATAACAGAACATAATTAAACTTTGTCCAGTTGACAATATATACGTACCTTACCTGTCACGTTAAGGCCAAAATGGTTGACAGATTCTTGGCAAAACAAATAAAATACATAAAAAAAATTATAGACAAATTATAGACAAATATATAATAAAATAAACGAAGAGATTTTTACAGAAATAGAAACTCTTTAGTTTTAAAACTTAAGATATTTTTAATTTCAAGAATTTTACTCTAAATATTTTTCTAATGAGAGAGTCCCGGCATGTAGATCCCTTGGCTGACACTCTCTGTTTTCTCTTTCTCTTTCTAACAATAAAACCATCCTTTTCCCGCAGCAGCAGGAGAACTCTTAGATTCGAATTCAATTTGACAAATTCCACAAAATGAGCTGTCCTAAGCGCATTTTAGACTTTTACCTATCGGCTTGAAAAAAAAAAACAAAACCAAATGGCAGCAGATTTGTGGTCTTTCGAATGTGTGTGAGTTGTATATAAATGCGAGTATGTGAATTGGCTGTGATAAGAGCAGCTGTTTTAACGATTCGACGAGCTCGTCATAAGTTTATGACTGGCGCCAACTTTATAATGTGATTTTAATGATCATTTTAACGATCGCCGACTGATCACAATGCGACTTGAATTCGAAAAATGTTTCAATTTTTGTCAACAATATTTTTTTTTGAATTGTTCTGGGGTTTTCTAACGAAATAGATAGAATTAGTTTGGCGTGCTCTTAAGTCGGGTCCAGAGACTGCAAATTGAATGGGACGTGTGGATTGTGCGATTGATGCATTGATTACTTTTGTTTTGTTTTCTCAGGCTGATAAGCCGCGAGCCATGCGACATGGCAATGTCTTGATGTGTAGAGAGCTCATCAAATTGCATATATAAATACTTATATATATGTGTATGTGTGCCTGATTATACAGTTGAGGAGTAGTTCAATGAGTTGCAGCCCTGACAAAAGTGCGAAAAGTGTTGAGTACGATAGCTACATAATTTATTATGGAATATTCCAAGTACAAACCGGCCAAGTGATAACATGCCAACTACTTCAATCGAGTGTATATAATATATATTTATATATACTTATGAATATATGCTGCGCAATGTTTTGCTTTAAGAAAGTAAACAATCAACAAGAAAGTTTACACTAACTTGGTTCTTTATTTTCGTTAATGTCTTCCTCTTATTTGGCTGAAAAAGTGAATGAACAAAATTGAGACCTAATGAATACTTGGAAATGGAATGTTCCGTTGTTTCTGTTATTGTTATTTGTAATTGTTATTGTTATTATTGTTATTTTTTTTTTTTTTGGTCTCCCTGGGGTCAGCTCAGTTTGTGAAAAATGAGCGAGAAAGAGACAGCGACAGCGTGAGCGAAAGAGAGAGAGAGAGAGAGAGAGAGCGAGCGCAAGAGAGACCCAATTGAATTTTATTATTACGTTCAATCAATGATCAAGAGGCCAAGTTAGGTCGTGTGACAATTATATGACTGACGTTAAGGAATTGTCCGTATATCTACATATACATATCTCGTTTATACATATACATATATATATATATATATATAAATATTATATATAGCAACATGTGTATCTCGTTTGATACGCGCTCAAGTTCAACGCGCGCTCTGCATCCACTCATTATAGATACAATATAGTTGGTATCTATTGCAGCCGGCTGGGTATATCGTACATGCATCATCCTTGCAATCGTTGAGTCTGTTTTTCCTCATTACATAATCAACGCTTGACAAGCAACTTGCTCCACGCTGCGGGCAATCAATCAAGATCAAGTGTCTCGGAACGCTCAGGCGCTTCTATAAATAGATGCCTGCCAATCAGTGCAGGAGGCTATTGGAGGCTGCTGCCAATAACGGCGCCAAGGATGTCCAATGCCTGCCAGCGGGCAATTTGCACGCCATCATCCCAGCCAGCCAACCGGCCATCAGCGGCACCAGCAGCCAGTTCCCAGCCCAGTTCCCATCATGAATAATGCGACCATTTGGCGCCCCAACGGCGACAACTTAATAGCCGCTTGCAGCCATCGATAAAGATATACAAACACGAATAGAAAAAGAGTGGCACGGGGAGAGATACAGGTACAGAAGTCGATTTAGATACAGATACCGATTCACTTATAGATATCGACTCAGATACAGATACAAGTGCAGATTCAGATACAGATAAAATTAAAGATACAGATGCATATTTATATAGGGGCAGATACAGATACAGATACAGATACAGATACAGATACAGATACAGATACATATACAGATATAGATACAGATACAGATACAGATACAGATACAGATACAGATACAGATACAGATACAGATACATATACAGATACAGATACAGATACAGATACAGATACAGATACAGATACAGATACAGATACAGATACAGATACAGATACAGATACAGATACAGATACAGATACAGATACAGATACAGATACAGATACAGATACAGATACAGATACAGATACAGATACAGATACAGATACAGATACAGATACAGATACAGATACAGATACAGATACAGATACAGATACAGATACAGATACAGATACAGATACAGATACAGATACAGATACAGATACAGATACAGATACAGATACAGATACAGATACAGATACAGATACAGATACAGATACAGATACAGATACAGATACAGATACAGATACAGATACAGATACAGATACAGATACAGATACAGATACAGATACAGATACAGATACAGATACAGATACAGATACAGATACAGATACATACAGATACAGATACATAGATACAGATACAGATACAGATACAGATACAGATACAGATACAGATACAGATACAGATACAGATACAGATACAGATACAGATACAGATACAGATACAGATACAGATACAGATACAGATACAGATACAGATACAGATACAGATACAGATACAGATACAGATACAGATACAGATACAGATACAGATACAGATACAGATCAGTACAGATACAGATACAGATACAGATACAGATACAGATACAGATACAGATATACAGATACATACAGATACAGATACAGATACAGATACAGATACAGATACAGATACAGATACAGATACAGATACAGATACAGATACAGATACAGAATACAGATACAGATACGAGTACAGATACAGATACAGATACAGATACAGATACAGATACAGATACAGATACAGATACAGATACAGATACAGATACAGATACAGATACAGATACAGATACAGATACAGATACAGATACAGATACAGATACAGATACAGATACAGATACAGATACAGATACAGATACAGATACAGATACAGATACAGATACAGATACAGATACAGATACAGATACAGATACAGATACAGATACAGATACAGATACAGATACAGATACAGATACAGATACAGATACAGATACAGATACAGATACAGATACAGATACAGATACAGATACAGATACAGATACAGATACAGATACAGATACAGATACAGATACAGATACAGATACAGATACAGATACAGATACAGATACAGATACAGATACAGATACAGATACAGATACAGATACAGATACAGATACAGATACAGATACAGATACAGATACAGATACAGATACAGATACAGATACAGATACAGATACAGATACAGATACAGATACAGATACAGATACAGATACAGATACAGATACAGATACAGATACAGATACAGATACAGATACAGATACAGATACAGATACAGATACAGATACAGATACAGATACAGATACAGATACAGATACAGATACAGATACAGATACAGATACAGATACAGATACAGATACAGATACAGATACAGATACAGATACAGATACAGATACAGATACAGATACAGATACAGATACAGATACAGATACAGATACAGATACAGATACAGATACAGATACAGATACAGATACAGATACAGATACAGATACAGATACAGATACAGATACAGATACAGATACAGATACAGATACAGATACAGATACAGATACGATACAGATACAGATACAGATACAGATACAGATACAGATAGCAAATCAGGATAAAGCTTTATATAATGAAGCCTTTTGAAGTAACAGAAATCTAAACAATTATTTTTGTTTAAAGCTCAAAGCTCCACAATTTCGCTTATGGGAAATAGCCTAAACACTTTTTTAAAGCTCAGCGCTCCTCATTAAAAAGTTTTAAAAGAACTCTTTTTGAATTGCCTAAAACATTAGAAGGTACGTTATGGAAATTTGTTAACTGGCAAAAACTAACAATTGATATTTATACATTTAATGAATCTTAAAGCTCCATAGCTTTGCAAAAGCTTTTTTAAATGTGTTGTTTATAGACTGTTTGTTGTATCACTTAACTATATTCAATTACTTAAAAGCTTACAGTTTCGTGTAAGGCTCTTAAAGCTCTGCAAAAGCTCTCCAATGTGTTGTTTAGATGTCTGTCTTATTACTAAAATAATAAGTTAATAAGTTACAGATTAAAGCTCTTTGGAAGTAAATAAATAGTAAATTAAGTAAATACAGTTAATTTGTCTTAAAGATACAGATACAGATACAGATACAGATACAGATACAGATACAGATACAGATACAGATACAGATACAGATACAGATACAGATACAGATACAGATACAGATACAGATACAGATACAGATACAGATACAGATACAGATACAGATACAGATACAGATACAGATACAGTACAGATACAGATAAGATACAGATACAGATACAGATACAGATACAGATACAGATACAGATACAGATACAGATACAGATACAGATACAGATACAGATACAGATAAGATACAGATACAGATACAGATACAGATACAGATACAGATACAGATAACAGATACAGATACAGATACAGATACAGATACAGATACAGATACAGATACAGAGACAGATACAGATATACAGATACAGATACAGATACAGATACAGATACAGATACAGATACAGATACAGATACAGATACAGATACAGATACAGATACAGATACAGATACAGATACAGATACAGATACAGATACAGATACAGATACAGATACAGATACAGATACAGATACAGATACAGATACAGATACAGATACAGATACAGATACAGATACAGATACAGATACAGATACAGATACAGATACAGATACAGATACAGATACAGATACAGATACAGATACAGATACAGATACAGATACAGATAAGATACAGATACAGATACAGATACAGATACAGATACAGATACAGATACAGATACAGATACAGATACAGATACAGATACAGATACAGATACAGATACAGATACAGATACAGATACAGATACAGATACAGATACGATAAGATACAGATACAGATACAGATACGATACAGATACAGATACAGATACAGATACAGATACAGATACAGATACAGATACAGATACAGATACGATACAGATACAGATACAGATACAGATACAGATACAGATACAGCTACAGATACAGCTACAGATACAGATACAGATACAGATACAGATACAATACGATACAGATACAGATACAGATACAGATACGATACAGATACAGATACAGATACAGATACAGATACAGATACAGATACAGATACAGATACAGATACAGATACAGATACAGATACAGATAATACAGATACAGATACAGATACAGATACAGATACAGATACAGATACAGATACAGATACAGATACAGATACAGATACAGATACAGATACAGATACAGATACAGATACAGATACAGATACAGATACAGATACAGATACAGATACAGATAGCAAATCAGGATAAAGCTTTATATAATGAAGCCTTTTGAAGTAACAGAAATCTAAACAATTATTTTTGTTTAAAGCTCAAAGCTCCACAATTTCGCTTATGGGAAATAGCCTAAACACTTTTTTAAAGCTCAGCGCTCCTCATTAAAAAGTTTTAAAAGAACTCTTTTTGAATTGCCTAAAACATTAGAAGGTACGTTATGGAAATTTGTTAACTGGCAAAAACTAACAATTGATATTTATACATTTAATGAATCTTAAAGCTCCATAGCTTTGCAAAAGCTTTTTTAAATGTGTTGTTTATAGACTGTTTGTTGTATCACTTAACTATATTCAATTACTTAAAAGCTTACAGTTTCGTGTAAGGCTCTTAAAGCTCTGCAAAAGCTCTCCAATGTGTTGTTTAGATGTCTGTCTTATTACTAAAATAATAAGTTAATAAGTTACAGATTAAAGCTCTTTGGAAGTAAATAAATAGTAAATTAAGTAAATACAGTTAATTTGTCTTAAAGCTCAAAGCTCTCTCAAAGCTCTTTCTTATATTTAACACAGTTTGGCATATCCCCATATATCATTGTCGCTTTAATCCAGTGTCATTGTCACTTGCGAGCCAAAAAGTATGCAATAGAAATTTTGAAGATTAGATTTGAACAGATTTGTGAAATACCCCTTACTCAATGCTGATAAAGTACGAAGTATGAAATCTAGAATTTCGATTCCATCCCACTCGAATCTAGTTAAGGCCATTTATAGATGGCTTTTTGGTATTTCCGAATCTAATTTTTGGGTAATGTCATTTAATTATTCTATTTTCTGTTTTTATATATTTTTGATGCTATTTATAGATCGCTGCCAGAGCTGCCATTTCGCGGGTTATCGAATGTCACCTACTTAAGCGTCGGCGACAACGAACTCGACGAGATTCCGAAGCACGTCTTGAATCACATGCCGCTGCTCCAGACCCTGGACATTGGGCGCTGTAACATACGAGCCGTGCAGCAGGACGACCTGAAAGGCATTCAAATGGTAACGAATCTGATCTTGCCCAGCAACAACATAACCCGGCTGGATCGTGGCGCCTTTCCGCTCAGCCTGCTCATCCTGCATTTGGGCCGCAATCAAATCGAGTCGCTCAACGGTTCGCTTCACGAACTAACCAAGCTGCAGTCGCTGTTCATCAATGCGAACAACATCAGCGATCTGGATGGCGAGCTGCCGGATGGCAGCAAGCTGCGTCTGCTGATGGCGCACAACAATCGGCTGGAACGACTGCCCGGGAACATGGCCAGCATGAACGATCTGGAGACGATACATTTGCACTTCAATCGGCTGAGGTCGTTCGATCGTGTGCTGAGGAATGCGCAGTATCTGAACGAATTGTTTGCGAACAACAATGAGCTGGAGTTTTTGGCCCAGGATGACTTTCAGGCGTGCCGCCAGATGGAGACCCTCAATTTGGCCTGCAATCATATACGCTCGCTGAACTCCTCGCTGCATCCTATGGCCAAGCTGAAGATTGGCAACTTTTCGTTCAACGACATTGATGAGTTCTCCATGGAGGAGCTGCACGGCCTGCGCTCCCTCAAGATACTCGATCTCTCCTACAATCGCATCCAGCGCCTTCTGCCCGGCCACAAGCACATGCCGGAGCTGCCGCTGATCGATCTGCGTCTCGATCACAATCAGATCATAACCCTGGACTCGGCGCTGGCCGGTTTGAGCAATCTGCGCATACTCAGCCTGCCGGAGAACCGCATCGAGTACATTATGCCGGGCGACCTGAACGGCATGAATCGCCTGGAGATTCTCGACTTGACCAGCAATCAACTCGTGGAACTGAAGCAGCTGGAAACGGTAGGTCCAGAGTTCTGAGTTCCCTTTGAATTTAGCTTCAAGCAACGCTTTGTTGATTTTCGCAGACTCTGCTGCCCAATCTGAAGATCCTGAAGGTGGCCTACAACAATATCAGCAAGCTGGAGCGCGACTTCTATGGGCTGCCCGTGCTCTGCCAGGTCAACTTGACCAACAATCAAATCACGACCATCTCCAGCGAACTCGTCACCAACACGCGCTGCAAGAATCACAATGTGCCCGGCAAACTGGAGATACATCTCGATGGTGAGTACCAAAAGGGCATTCTATACCTCATTGAATAAGCAAAAATCAAGCTAAGAGCTCTTAATATAAGCATAATGCGTACGTAATTTAAGATTGGTTCAAATGGTCTGAGAATAAGTCAAAAACTATTGAATCCAGTAATGCAAATTTAATTTCAAGTCAATTTAAAATACGTAAAAACAAAACAAAATTAGTTCAAGTTTATCCTTACTAAAATCAGGTTTTATTCAAAAAGGAATTTAATTAAGTTATCGATATAAATTATCAGGAAAAAGAAATGAATCAATGTTAAAGCTATGTATGTCCGTCTGTCTCAGCCGGATACTGGAATAGCTCATCAGTATGTCCACTTTTCTGTTCGAGTTCGAATCCGATTAAGAAAGCATCCGAATTCCCTTAGACGGTACCACGAATTGAGCTCTTCTTAAAGACTGCCCCTTGCTGTGGGAGTATCGTGTGTGTGGGATTTGGTGAGCTAAGAGTTCTAGCCCTTAACTATTGGGCTTATGTATGACGGATGAAATTCCAAATGAGAACCGGGCCACGTTAAACAAAGGAAACGAGAAACATATATAAATATTTTGGATATCTCAGTATCTGACCCTATAAGAGCTGATTATAAAAAGTATAGATATAGACCTTCGTCTAGCCATAAATGATTACTGAGGCCTTCGACTAAAACCATGTCCGGATCCCTGCGTTAGCGATGGATTTGAACCGGGGTCCTTCTTAATAATTTTGCCTAAATGAAAGTCCTTTGATGTTATAATCTGCCAAGATCTGCTTGAATTAAAAGTTATTCATTTACATAAGCAGAATTTCTTATATATACGCCCGTGTTCCTAATATCGATAAATATCGATTTTGAAGAAAGGTTGCTTGAGCATATCTCGGGAACAAAAAGAGCAAATTCTGTCTGTATGTTTATGTAAAGCTAACATGTTTATATAATAAATACTATTTGTATAATTAATATAATTTATTTATATGTTATATCGTATTGTACTACTTTCGCTCAGACAATCCCATCATGTGTGATGTGCGCCTGAACGAGCTGTGCCGTTTGATGGCCGCGCAGGATGCGCGCATCCGCGGCCGTTCGCAGTGCTTCGAGAACGACCAGGAGGTGTGCACGGTGCTGCCAATGCTGTACAAGATCGATCTGCCGCTGCTGGTGACCAAGCTGAAGATCGGCGATGCCGAGGACGCCAAGCCGCTCGTCCAGATGCTGGTGCCGTCGCCCATTCTGATCAAGAACAACGATGAGCTGCTGCCGCCGTTAATTGCAACGCTGGGCCAGCCGCTGATCAATCCGGTCATAATAGCTGCCCAACCGCCGCCGCCGCTGCTGCTGGCCACCACAACACCACAGGCGCCGCCGGTGCTGCACTTGGAGCTGGACAACACGACGACGAGCACAACGACAACAACAACAACGACGACGACAACGACGACAACGAATCCGCCCGTAATCAGTCCGGCGACAACGCCTGCGCCCGCAAGTCAGCCGCTGGCAGTGCCGGAAATGGTAACCACCACAGCGCCGACCACAACCACGACGAGCACAACGACGCCGCAACCAAACGATACGCTGCCCGTCATCCTGGACATAGAGGAGCCCAATCTGACGGACTCTGTCAAGCCGGGTCACATGAATGCCACAGCTGGCGATTTGTCCCCCCAGTTGGAGGAGCAGAAACATAAGCAGTTGAAGCTGGATCAGGAGCAGGAGCAACTGCAGCCGCCGCTGATTCCGGCTGCCGTGGCCGAGCAGCACGAGCAGGTGGCCAAAACAGAGTATGAAACAGTCGAGTATATACCGAATGTGCTGCTGGCGACGACGACGCCGCCGCCGCCAACGAGCAAATCGAATCTGCTCGAGGAGGACGCCGATTCGCAGTCCAATTCGGTGCACGAGGAGTATCCGTCGGTGCTGCTGGGCGACTCGGAGCATGCGGCACAGAATCTGCAAATACCCGAGGAGCCGCCGGAGGAGTGAGCGGAGAGTGTGCCAAAAAAAAACAAAAACAAAACAAAAAAAAAACAGAAACAAAACAAACACGCACAACAATTATTTAAATAAAAAATAGGCGCTGGCAGGCGTGGGCGTTGGGTGTGGGGGCGTGGCATGCATCGAGCAGCGTAACGAACAATTTGGATTGTATGTCTTAAGTTAATTTAGTTTCTATGATTTTCGATTTAAGCGTTTCGAGCGTTTCAGTTTTCAAAAGAACAAAAACCGAACGAAAAAAACCGAAAGAAATACCGGAAAATTCGTTCGGAATTTATGTGGACCCGAGGACAGATCGACGGACGGCGACCGGGGACAGGCTTAAGTTGTAAGTTGATTGCTGGGCGGGTGGGGGTGGGCGTGGCGAGGGGTCGCGGGGGCAGCTTGTCTGGCCAGTAAGTGACAGCGAATATAAATATTTAATAACTGTATACACCATATGTACGTTGAAAAGTTTACAAGTAGGTACTTAGAATTAAACAAAAGGAAAAAGCGAAAACAACAAAAAAAAATATAAACAAAAAGCAAACATCGAGTTAATGTTAAAGAACGAGAAAAAAACACACACAAACACACATACACTCACACAAACGTAGCAACGCACATAAACACGAAAGAAAAATATATATTGTTATCAGTTGGTTAACAAATGAATTTAGTTTGTAGCACGTAATTATATAAACAAATAAATGAAAATGGTATTCTAAATAAAGTCGTAAACAAACAGAAAGAAATCGGTTCGAAAGAACAATTTAGAGCTTGATAATCAACTCAGGCGCAAAATTCGAATTTCAAATCTTACCGCCTTTAAATCGAATCGAAATCAAAGTAGTGTTAAGAGTTTACAGATGTTATTTACCAAGTTAAGTAAATCGACTTATCGATGTATCGTGATAGCGAAGTATGTTAATGTAATATGTTATAGATGTGCAACATAACATTCACGCTGTTATCTTACTGCAGTCGTTGAAATAATGACATCTTATATTTTGGTCAAGTTTTAGCTTCTTCCAATAACAATATTTATTTGAAATACTGTCAAAATTATGTCACTATTTTAGCTTAAATTTTTTGCATTTCATAATTTAATTTAATTTAATTTATTTAATCGATGATTCAGCCATGTTTTGCAATCGATAGCTGGCAACACGTAGTTGCTACTCTATGTTATATCGATATATCGTGTCTTTGCCTATTGTTTTAGTAATACCATCGTCAGCGAGTGGAGACGGAGCAAAACAGCAGCAGAAAAAGAAAGCAAACGCAAAAGCCATACAAAACAAGAAAATCATTGCTCTGTTTCATATTATATTTGGCTAATATTCGTGTTCCGTGCAACAAAAAAAAAGTGTAAATAACGCCCACGCGTGCACTACGACATCTACATACAATTAGTTTCCACTGCAATTCTGTTGACGTTGCCGTTGTTGTCATCGTCTTGTGACTGTCGGGCATATTTAAAAAGAAAGTCGTAAAAATATAAAACTAGCTGGGAGGAGTAGTTGTCGTTGTTTCTTGGAGCCCCACACACATCACACCACACACACACGCACACACCTACACACAGACATACATTCACGCACACACACACACACGGACTAGCCAACTGCAGGCAACACAACGCGCAGTGCGGAGAGAAGTCAGAAGTATTGCAGCAGGTAAGCGGACGTGGGCAGCGTTTGGGGCGAGCATTTCTCTTTAGTTTTCTTTCATTTGTATTTGTTGCTCGCAATTGGCAGCAACTATTTTTTTTGTTTTGTGTTTTTGTTTTTTGCTTTTGTTATTACTGATTTCGAAATAGTTGCCATTTGTTGTTTATGCATTTGGCAGTGTATGCCAAGCATATTGTACATATACATATGTGTATGTGTATATGTATGTGTATGTGTGTGTACGTCATCTTATACTGCTATACTTCACATAACGGAAGTTGTTATTATTTGTATATAAAAATATATAAACTGTGGGCTTATTTGTTGTAGTCGTAGTAGTTGTAGTTCTTTTTATTTTTTTCTTCGTATTTATCATTTTGTTGATAACAGTTTGCTGCTGTATTTTCGCCGGCTCGTTTCGCCGCGCCGCGGCTTAGTCATAGCCGGGCCATTTGGAACTGGTTTATGTTGCCGTATTTCGCCGTATTAGAAGTGACTAATGAATGAAGGTGTCGCACATATCGGTTGTCAGTGCATACCAGCATGGACATGTATAAAAATGTGCACACAAATAAGTAGTTATGAAATCTAATCGCATTTTTCCTTTCGATTTGTTATCAAACGGGCACACGCACGCATACACGCGCAGCAACCCACACACACACACAATGCACACGCCCCAAATTGTACGCCGCCCGCATGCAGCAAAATGCAACATTAGAATTGAAGATGAGAGTGAGAGGCAGTGCGAGAGAGAGAGAGTGGTAGAGAGAGCGCGCGCAAGATCAGAGGCCTGCACAGTGGGCTGTACGCTATGCAAATGCGCTGACCTTCGACTAGACATTCCCCCATTATCGATTCCACACATTCGCAACGTTGTGCTAAACGATAAAACGGACAGGCCGCTCAGACAAAGGGGTTCCTAATAGCATTAGACAACACACAGCACACAGCGCGAACAAAGAGCACATAATAATTTGTTCTAATGTGCGCAAGTGGCTGTTGTTGTTGTTGGTGAACGCCATTTAAATCACGTTCGTATCAATTCGCATCACGCACTCATTCGCGCTCGCTCAGTCTCGCTTGTGATCTCGATCTCGGCATAGCTCTCGTCCGCTGCTGCAGTGTGTTTCCGCTGCGCGAATTGTTTTTTAGACTACGTTCATTGAACTTGAAGTTAAATTCAAGGCTCTCCTTGCCAGAAAGTACAACACAAGCCGTTCAGTTTATACACACACACACACACGCACATATACACTAATATATTTTTGGCAATAAAAACGTCGCCGTCGCGGAAAAAGTCAAGTGCAAAAATAAAGCGCCACAACAAAGAAAGTGCGCGTCGTAACGCTTGCTCTCTCTTTCTAGCTTATTGCTTGTTTGCGTCTGGCATTCAATTGCCCAAGTTCAGGCCAATGCATCTCCCCCTCATTTTCAATTCCTTTGACTTCACTTGCTTGTTTTCCTTTTCCTTTTTATTTATTTTTTTTCTTGTGCGACATTTAATTGAATTATTCGTGTTGCCTTCTTTCTTCTATTTCTGCTGCAGCAAGCAGAGAGAGCCGGAGACTGAGAGCAAACCGCAAACAAAACAAACAAACCGTTAACGCTAGGCCCGCATTCAAAGCTCTCTCTCTCTCTCTCTCTCTCTCTCTCTCTCTCTCTCTCTCTCTCTCTCTCTCTCTCTCTCTCTGATCTTCACGCACGGCCCATTATTACAACTCGGCAGCGGTCAATGAATCCCGCAGCATTCACAAAAACACAACCACACACACACAACTGTGCATATACATATACGAATACCCGTTCGACTAGTTTCGAAGTGAGCTTTTCGAGCTCGAGCTCGAGTTCGAGTTCTGCACGTAGTTTCTTTTCAAGCCGGCTTTAATATGTGTCAAGTGCGTTCCTCACACTTCGGTGGCAACTACGCATTCCAACTCGTTCTAGAATCTTAATGTTGAAATATCAGTGTTTACCTGACCACGAGTGAAATAAATAAAATAAACTGTTAATGCTCGCTGATATCTTATCAGCTTAAAGTGAGCTACGCCATAAAGACTATGCGTGTGTGTGTGTGTTTTTCGCAGATTTGTGACGTACATAATTGTCGATTAGCTTGAGCTGTTTTTTTTTACTGTTCCTCCGAAACATTCCCGTTTGTTTTATTAGCATTGGCAACTTTTTTGAAATGTATTCGAAATAAGAACTTTTTGTTGGACTTTGGCTTTGTTTATTTATTTCTTCTCAAAAGTTGAAGGCCTTCTGCATTATTTCTTCTTCTTTCGCTGATTAAAAATGCATTTATTATAATTTTGCATTTTGCATAACGCCGCTTAGCTGCAATTTTGCCTATTCCAAACATGTTTTGCCATTATTTCCGGTACTTAAAAATACCCTACCCCACTGTCGCTGTCTGTTTGTGGCATTTTTGTGGCTTCTTAGAAATTTGCATAGCCTGGGGCACAGGGAAGGGCATATTAGCGGGGTCATGAGTTCTAGAAGTGTGTTTACTTTAATATTCAATCTTCTGGCAGATCTTTATATTTTCATTCTCCTTTAAATATGTATCTTTACTAAATGTGGACAGGTGCAGTATAGCAGTCAGCTTTTGTCTGTCAGTGAAGGGTATTTGAGATGCGACCTCCTCCGCAGCTTTTCGAAATGTGCCCGTACTATTTTTTCTTAATTTTCTTTGCAAATTGAATTACAAGTTCCTCCTCTATTCTGCCTAGTAAAAGTCTTCTTCTCGCTGTGTTGAGGTTTGTTCCAGACTTGAACTTGGATCCTACGGCGGGCTCTGTTTGGTTTCGTTATTAATAAGTTATTTAAATTTATATTTCTTTGTTGCACTGTTGGTATATATGTATTTCTAACTAATCTTTTGGTGTACTTTACTCGTGCACATTTGTATATTTAACCACAACGACAAAATATTTATCTTATATATACATACATATGTACTTTTATACTACGTATTTTGACTGTATTATCTTGTATCTCATACTTAGCTTGCTTTGGAGCACTTAAACAGCAAAACAAAAACTAAAACCAAAAACAAAATATAAAGCTAAAGAACAAATTCAAGCAATTAAAAAGAAAAACACCTTCTATATATAGCATATAGAGAAAGCAAAGCAAAATATTTACCGAAAACAAATCTACTTGTATAAGTCAAACGCAATAGAAAAAAAACAAACCGAAAAGTAAGTCTTAATGTTTTCTTTGCATAATCATTTACTAAAAAAAAATACACCGCCTATGATTAATTGTATACATATTAATAAACTACTTGTAAAGTGACACTAAATTATTGTGAACGTGGCTTATGATGTTTTGTATGCGACTAGTCTGAAGAAGCTTTAAGCTCACAGGCACTTAATTCAAGTGTCTGTTCAAGCAGCAGCTTATGCGACGAGTCTGAAGAAGCTTTAAGCTCACGTGCACTTAATTTAAGTGTTTGTTCAAGCTGAAGCTTATGCGACGAGTCTGAAGAAGCTTTAAGCTCACAGACACTTAATTCAAGTGTCTGTTCAAGCAAAAGCTTTATGCGAAAAGCTCGAATGTCAAGCATATTCGTAGAACTTTAAGCAGAGCTTTAAGCTTTATCGTTAGACTCCAGTCACATGCAATAATATACAAAAGTAGCCAAGTAATTGCCTTGTTTTGAAAAGTAAAAACAACACGCATTTGTTTTTGAGTTTTGAACACAACACAACACACAGATACAGATACACCCATACTCTCTCACACACACACACAAAAAACCCACACACGTAATAGTTTATCAAAATATTGAAATAAGCACAGTCTCGGAAATCGGATGCGCCCCTGTGCGATATATTGGAATTTGTTTGTGTTCTCGTGTTTGTGTTGATTATTTTTCCCTATAAACATTTATATATATATATATATATATATATATATAAATATATATATAAATATATATATATATATATATATATGTATATATATGTGTATATGAAAATATTGTAACGTGACATTCATTTCAACACAGAATTCATTTTGTTTTGGTAGCGTTTAACGTAAAGACAAAATTAAAACAATCAAAAATTTCAGTTAAACGGGAACAGATAAAGAAACAGAAGATATATAGAACAGATATATATATATATATATATATTAAATTACAAACATAATCTGTAGTCGCAGCTAATTCAACTTAGTTCTAGCCATGTTAACACCTCTCTTCACTCTTCTCGTCACACAGTGAGAAAGCAAAAAGACGATATGCAGGTCAATGTCGCCGGACTACGCAGAAACATCAAGAATCTCGCGCACAACTATTCCGATGCACAGGTAAAACCCACCTGCAATAGTCAATATGCATAATCCGTCTCACGTCTTCTCTTTAACTTGCAGGTCAAGGTGCGCGAGGCTACTTCCAATGATCCATGGGGGCCGTCGGCCACAATTATGGCTGAAATAGCCGATCTAACGTACAATGTGGTTGCCTTCTCGGAGATAATGCAAATGATATGGAAACGTCTCAACGATCACGGCAAGAACTGGCGTCATGTCTACAAGGCGTTGATATTGCTCGAGTATCTGATTAAGACGGGCACCGAAAAGGTCGCCCAGCAATGCAAGGAGAATATTTTTGCCATACAAACGCTGCGCGAGTTTGTCTACTTCGAGGAGGGCAAGGATCAGGGCACCCATGTGCGCGAGAAGGCCAAACAGCTGGTCAATCTGCTCAAGGACGACGAGCGTCTCAGGAATGAGCGCGTCAAGGCGCTGAAAGCCAAAGAGCGTTTCGCACTGCATCCGAGCGGCTTTGGCAGCGATGGCTACATCGACGGGCCCTCGCAGCGCGACATGCCGCCGGGCTGGCAGGAGGAGCCGCCCAAAAACGCCTCCGAGCTGGAAATGGTGCGGCCGCAAACCGCTGGCGAGGAGGAGCTACAGCTGCAGCTGGCCATGGCCATGTCGCGCGAGGAGGCTGAGCAGGAGGAGGCCAAGCGGCGCAGCGACGATGTGCGTCTCCAACTAGCGCTCAGCCAGAGCGAACAGGACTTCAAGTGAGTGCTCAAAATCAAAGTACAGCTACCGCAATTTCTAAATAAGACCCTGCCTCGACAGGGACTCCAGTGGACGACCCATAGCGGCGCCCAAAAAAGAGGAGCAACAGAGCCATTTGCTGGACCTGCTGGACATCTCGCTGGGCGCGACCAGCATTTCAAGTCCACCCTTGGGCGCTGCAGGCGGTGCTCCCGCTGCTGTTGTCGATCCCTGGGCAACGCCGTCTAGCCGTGCAGCTAGTCAACTGTCGGATCCGTGGGCAGGCGCCGCCTCGCCGCATGTAGATCCCTGGCATCCCTCGGCCGCGCCGCGTACTATTATGAGCGCCGGTGTGCCGCTGGGCGCAGCTGCTGCACAGGCTCAGCCTTTGGCCGCACCAGGCGATGCCTGGGGTCTGCGTACACAGTCGCCATCCGTGGCATCGGGCTCCTCCAACGAGGGCTGGCTGCAAACCAACGGCAATGCCAGCCAAAATGGTCGTATGCCCGCTCCAGCGCCCGTCGATGCCTGGCTGACGAAATCAACAGCCAGCGCCGCCCTGGCAGCACCTCCTACAAAATACGCAGCCAGCAATGGCAGCTCAGCCGATCCTTGGCTCGCGGAAGCGCAGCCAGCAGCCAGCGCAGCAGCAGCGGCAGCCGCACCGGCAGATCCCTGGGCAGCAGCGCAGCCGAGCTCGGGAGCGCTAGATGATCCCTGGAAGGCAATGCAAACAGGCGCCATCAAGGTGAGTTTCTAATAACAATAAGAATAAAGAAGAACTCTAAAGCTAATCTCTTGCACTTGCAGAAACAATCGCCCGACTTTGATGAGTTCGATTTGATAACCAATCGCAATAAAAGCGCCGAGCAGAACAATTCCAACAATGCCTCCAATAACAACAACAATGGTGAGCAGACAGAAAGGCGCGTTCAAGTGTTTGCTCCGTTTTATTAATTAGTTTTTATCTTGCTAAAAGCTTCGCTGCTGGACGATATGGATCCGCTTTCGACGAATTACGGCAACAGCGGCGGCGGCTCGGTGCATCCGTCGACGGGTGCCACCACCAAGAAGCCCTATCGCGATCCGCTTGCATTCCTCGGCGAAAATTCGGCGTTGGTTAATTTGGATAATTTAATTAAGCCAAATACGCCGCAGACACAGTCCGGCCTTGTGCCAGCCTACAATCCGTTTGCGGACAATGTGATGCCACCCAAAACGAATCTATTCCAGCAGCAGCAGCCAGCCGTAAGTACTGGGCTATATAATATATATGGTTGTAGAGTTGTGTAATTGTTGCTGTTGCATTTCTCGCTCAGGTGCCGTCCATCAATCAATTGAAACAGCAGCCGCCCTTCCCCGTCAACATGAATCAGGATCCCTGGGCGCCGGCCAGCGGCGGCGTCAGTGCAGCCTCTCAGGTGAGTGTGAGTGCAAGTGTATGTAAGGTGTGTTCATGAGTGTGTGCAGCGAACAGTGTTTGTATACCCTTATAGAGTGTAAAGAGGTAAACCCTATAAAGTATATATATTCCTGAGGAGTATCAACAGTCGAGTCTAAAAGCCATTCGTCCGTCTGTTTCTATGCAAAGTTTTCTCTCCTTGCATAGGTTCGTCTTGCTGTTGCAGGCATTATATATTTTTGGATCGGAATTACTATATCATATTATTATCATAGAAATAGTTGCTTGAAAGTAAAGTTCTTGCAAGAGTTACCTTTTGTGTCTCGAGATACTATTGTAAAAACCCGGCACTTATTTAGTTCAACTGTGCTATTTATATTTTCGAAACAATATCAGACTTCTATATAGCTCTAAAAGAGCTAGTTCCAGACATCGCGATTCTCCTCACATATCACAACAAATGTAAGGGTATAAGGGTATTCAAACTTCGGCGTGCCGCAGTTATTTATTCTTTCTTGTATTTTTTACGTTTGTTTGAGCGGAGTACGTTTAGGTATTTAATTGAAAACAAATTCTCTCATACTTTTACTTACTATATATTACCATATTATATATGCATATATAAATTTCTATTGTTTGAGGTTAACTCTGATCTCTCTAATAATTTTTATTGGTACTCTTTACTTTACTTTATCGTTTCCATACTGAACATTGCATTTTGTTTCCCTCTATTTGCTTTGCCTTATTGTCGTTACCTTACATTTTGAGCAACTGTTGCATGCAACATCCAAATCCAAATCCAAATCGACAAACATAGCCAAAGCCGCTGAAACCGCTGCGTCCGACCAGCCTGAAGCTGATCGATGACTTTGATCTGTTGGGCGCCTTCAATAAACCCGTCCTGTCCCGTCCACAGCCGAGCTACAACAATCCGCCGAGCGAGAACAACAACATTTATAGCTATGGCATCAGCCAGAGCTACAATAATAGTCCGTCCATTGACAACATACGCAACCTGGATATCATGAGTGAGGCGCAGCCACAGCCGCTTTCCTATTTCCCCAGCCCCACGGCGCCCGCTGGCCCGTATAGCAACTGCAGCACTCCGGGCTATTCCACCTACACGCAGTGCTACAGCAGCGCCCTGTCCGATTCCCTGGCCGATACGCCGGGCATCAGCATTTCTCCATTGGGCTACGATAGCAACGTTGCGGCAACTCCAACTGGCAGCTTCTATGGCAATTCCAGCGCAGCCGCTGGCCACTACTGCAAACTGGAAGTGAGTGCGAACTGAGGAGCAGCCGCTCGAATCCTGTCGCTCGTCGTTCTCCTGTTGTCCTTGTTGCTGTTAATTATTTGCTGCTGATCTTGTTGTTATTGCCAGAAACAGATTTGTGATTTGTTGTTGCTTTGCTTGAGTTTTTAGCTAGTTTGTTTGTTTATTTATTTATTTATTTTTTATTAATTTTTGTTTTAATATTGTATGATTTACAAGCTAGCAAGTGCTACAGAATGTCCCTCTCGCCACACAGGGAATGAAACCGAATTAACTTAGGTCTTGCACTTTTTCATAATTTAAAGTTTAATAAGAGAGTAGCTCTTCATGGGAGCGTCAGATCCATAGTAAGAGGTCTCTCTCTAGATTTCAAACTTCCATAGTCGACAAGGGTTGATCTCTAGTTTAAATCTGGAAACCTATCTGGAAATTTCAGGTACCCTTGTAAAGGTTATTATAATTTAGTCATGAAATGTGTAACGCATTGAAGGAGGCATCTCCGCTCCCATAAAGTATATATATTCTAGATTAGTATCAACAGCCGAGTTGATATGTCTCTCCGTCCGTCTGTCTGTTTCTATGCGAACTATTATAGTTTCTCAGTTATTGCCTTGAAACATTGCATAGGTACAGGAGAGATCGGTGGAGTATATGGCAAGGCCATCCTTACTTTCTTGTTAGGAGTGAAATCATTTTGGTCCTGTCTAAAAAATCCACATCTATAGTAAAAGGTCTTTGTAGTCTTCCAATTTTCAGGAGGGATGCCACTTCGGATAAGGCTTAACTTCTAGATTACCTACACATTGAAATTAGACTATATTTTTTTATCAAAACCCAACTAGTTGACTTCAAGTTCATACCAATTCATACCAAAAATGCTGACTATAATCATTGTCAATAGTTAAAACTCACTTTTTTCAATAACTAAAGACAGAATCGACTTCTCAACGGGATGGTTTCTGCTCTAGATACTTCTGGCACCTTTTGAATTTTGAACTATACGGTTTCATTCCCTGCTACTCTTAAATGCGCCTAATAATAACGTACTCATGTTAACAAGCAGCTGCTCTCTGCCAAACACAGTTGATCATAATATTTTCTAATTGTAGCCAACAATGGAGGCTTGGACGCTTAAATAAAACACATACAAATATGCAAAATACAATGCAAATGGGTAAAATGTTTTTTTCGAATGTGCATGCTCTGCTTTCCATTAAATATATAACTCCCAGAACCTAAAGCCACAATCTTATATAAATATGCCCACTAAAACTAACAAACTAATTATTAAACATTAACAAATGTAGCTGCTAGAAACTGCATGTAGATAGTCTTGCTTACTTTAGCTCCACTGTGCGAGATATTTTGAGAATTTGTTTAAACTAATATTTTTTGTTTTAAATTCTTGCAGCAAAACAACAACATGCCGTGGATAAAACCGGAGGCGGCAGCTACAAATCCGTTTTTGTCATAAGGAGTCAATCAATCAACCAATCAATCAGCAGCAGCAGCTAAAAATAACAAACAACAGCAACAACAACAACACATTGACGGGGTGGTGCATCGGGCGACAACAACAACAATAACAAAGAGCAGAGAGCAGCCGCAACAGCAACAACAACAAAACTGAAAAATATGAATTAATTGATAACAAAATTATGTGTAAGAAAGTATTATTAAACTGTAAAATATGTGATGTGTTGTATGATTGAACAACAACAACAACAACAACAACAACAACAACAGCTGAAACAGAAACAAAACACAATGTTTAAACAGAGTTACGTGCAATGTGTAGGCTTCAACAGTTTTCAAAGTTTTATTTAATTGTAATAGCTCTTCGAAGAAAACAAAAAACAAAGCTCCAAATGTATAGTTAATAATAATAATACGAGCATTAATGCAGCACTGAGGGTCTACGGCCAAAGCTCAACTGCATTCAAGTTGAGTCGCAAGCCAAAAGCCCAACTATTCAAATTGGCAGCCCACATTTAAGTTAAACGTTGTTGTAGAAACCAAAAACAAGCGAAAAGTAAAGAAAACGAATGAAAATATTTAAAGATCGGTTCAATACAAGATACAAATACTAAATTGTAAATGCAGCGCAGTGCGATAAGATAATTGAATTGTTATATAGCTTTAAAAATCTGTGCATTGTCTAGAGAAAGAGATATTCACATTTAACAACAACAACAACAACAAACATTTTTTGTGTATGTGCTTTGTAATTGTACATTTTTTTACGTTTTTTGCGATATTTGTTTCTTGTGGCGTGCACAGCAGCAAAAAAAAAAGAAACGCTAACAAAAATTAATAATAATAATAATTTTTTTAAACACAGTTTTTTATGAAATTTTTCAAAATAGAATTTATGTGCGTTTTGTGTGTGTTTTGGGCCACCTTTCGATAAAACAAAAACCAAATGCAATGCATATAATTTTTGCTGTTGAACATTTTTATAGCGCATAGTTTAAAATTTACAAAACATAAACAAAATATTATTATTATTATTATTATTAAACAAACAGCTAAAAGAGAATGGTATATATTTAGGTTAGAATACGTAAAAATTGTATAAGCGTAACTTAATGATAAACAACAAATATAAAAAAAAAAAAAAACAACAAAAATCAAACTGATGTGGAAAGGCTTAAGAGATTTACACACACGCATATATATATGTAAATATATATGCATATAAACATACACAATTCACACACACACACATATACATATACATATATATACACGTGCTAAAGCAAGTAAAATTGTAAAGCATATTTTCATAAAATTAAACACTTTATTGTAACAACAAAAACCCAAAAGCGAAACACAACAAACCACAAATCCTACAAATTTTGGATGCTCGCATTGCACAACACACTGGGACGGATAAAGTGCTAAACGATCCTCCGGCGCAGCCAGCTCACCCTCATCTCGTATGCCCGGCAGCCACCACTTGACAGCCAGCGCCAGCTCTCAACACTTTGTTGTCTTTGTGTGTGTGTGTTGGAAGGAGGCGGGAGGCAATGGGCAGAGGCTGAGCACGATTATGTTAATTTCATAAGAGGGGGCAACAGGCGACAGGCAGCTGCAGCAGCAGCAGCAGCATTAACGGAGCACGCCCACCGCATATGGCAGTGATATTTGGCCAGCCTGGTCTGGGATGGGATGGTACGTGAATGTGGATGTGGATGTGGTGTTGCGCAAGTGGCTGCCCGACGCGATTTGGTTTTGATATTTGACATGCGCTGGGGGCCATCAGGAAACTTCGTTTAAATGAAATCAAAAGTGCACAAATACATAATTTACACAAATTTGCAACAGCCGATTTACAAGTGTGAGAGGCCAAAAACCCAAGACAACACAAAATATCTGCGGACTTGGCGAATATTGATGTTAGATCAAGGAAGGAAGATGACAACATTAAATAGCCGGGTAAGTTTTATAACTGTTTTATAACTCTTAAATCTAAAAACGTGCATAGATAGCTTACTTGGGCAGTCCGAAAAGAAAATACCCTTCCAGTAAAAGTACGATCAATATTTTCTATAGTCTGTTTTATCTAAAATTTGGCTCATATGTTGGGTTTTCTGAACTTATTAACCAATCATATATATGGCAGCTTTATGATAGGATCGGATTAGTATATTCACCCGACTCCCAAATATGCACTGCCTAGAACAAAAACGACAGTTTCTGAATATATATATGTCATAAACCTCTACTTATTGATACTGAATATATAAATATTTTAAATATTGTAGCCAGCTATAGATACCAAATTGATCTCATGGCCAAGTTATAAGTTATGGGGTGGGAAATTTCCACCTATGTCTGTATAGGATATTTGAGAGTACAATTTTATACATGAATTTGGACCAAAAATAATGTTGCCAGATTTTGATGCACAATTAATCTAGAGGCCAAACCATGAAAAAAAATCCAAACCTCGTGAAAATCGGTTGAGTTTTAGCCGACTTATGGGGGTGGGAAATTTCGACCTATGTCTGTATAGGATATTTGAGGGTACAATTTTTTACATGAATTTGGACCAAAAATAACGTTGCCAGATTTTGATGCACAATTAATCTAGAGGCCAAACCATGCAAAAAAATCCAAACCTCGTAAAAATCGGTTAAGTTTTAGCCGATTTATGGGGGTGGGAAATTTCGACCTATGTCCGTATAGGATATTTGAGGGTACAATTTTTTACATGAATTTGGACTAAAAATAACGTTGCCAGATTTTGATGCACAATTAATCTAGAGGCCAAACCATGAAAGAAAATCCAAACCTCGTGAAAATCGGTTGAGTTTTAGCCGACTTATGGGGGTGGGAAATTTCGACCTATGTCCGTATAGGATATTTGAGGGTACAATTTTTTACATGAATTTGGACTAAAAATAACGTTGCCAGATTTTGATGCACAATTAATCTAGAGGCCAAACCATGAAAAAAAATCCAAACCTCGTGAAAATTTATTGAGTTTTATCCGAGATATGGGGGTGGGAAATTTCGACCTATGTCCGTATAGGATATTTGAGGGTACAATTTTTTACATGAATTTGGACTAAAAATAACGTTGCCAGATTTTGATGCACAATTAATCTAGAGGCCAAACCATGAAAAAAAATCCAAACCTCGTGAAAATTTATTGAGTTTTATCCGAGATATGGGGGTGGGAAATCTCGACCTATGTCTGTATAGGATATTTGAGGGTACAATTTTTTACATGAATTTGGACCAAAAATAACGTTGCCAGATTTTGATGCACAATTGATCTAGAGGCCAAACCATGAAAAAAAAATCCAAACCTCGTGAAAATTGGTTGAGTTTTATCCGAGATATGGGGGTGGGAAATCTCGACATATGTCTGTATAGGATATTTGAGGGTACCATTTTTTACATGAATTTGGACCAAAAATAACGTTGCCAGATTTTGATGCACAATTAATCTAGAGGCCAAACCATGAAAAAAAATCCAAACCTCGTGAAAATCGGTTGAGTTTTAGCCGAGTTATGGGGGTGGGAAATCTCGACATATGTCTGTATAGGATATTTGAGGGTACAATTTTTTACATGAATTTGGACCAAAAATAACGTTGCCAGATTTTGATGCACAATTAATCTAGAGGCCAAACCATGAAAAAAAATCCAAACCTCGTAAAAATCGGTTAAGTTTTAGCCGATTTATGGGGGTGGGAAATTTCGACCTATGTCTGTATAGGATATTTGAGGGTACAATTTTTTACATGAATTTGGACTAAAAATAACGTTGCCAGATTTTGATGCACAATTAATCTAGAGGCCAAACCATGAAAAAAAATCCAAACCTCGTGAAAATCGGTTGAGTTTTAGCCGACTTATGGGGGTGGGAAATTTCGACCTATGTCTGTATAGGAGACTTGAGGGTACAATTTTTTACATGAATTTGGACCAAAAATAACGTTGCCAGATTTTGATGCACAATTAATCTAGAGGCCAAACCATGAAAAAAAATCCAAACCTCGTGAAAATTGGTTGAGTTTTATCCGAGATATGGGGGTGGGAAATCTCGACCTATGTCTGTATAGGATATTTGAGGGTACAATTTTTTACATGAATTTGGACCAAAAATAACGTTGCCAGATTTTGATGCACAATTAATCTAGAGGCCAAACCATGAAAAAAATCCAAACCTCGTGAAAATTGGTTGAGTTTTATCCGAGATATGGGGGTGGGAAATCTCGACCTATGTCTGTATAGGATATTTGAGGGTACAATTTTTTACATGAATTTGGACTAAAAATAACGTTGCCAGATTTTGATGCACAATTAATCTAGAGGCCAAACCATGAAAGAAAATCCAAACCTCGTGAAAATCGGTTGAGTTTTAGCCGACTTATGGGGGTGGGAAATTTCGAACTATGTCTGTATAGGAGACTTGAGGGTACAATTTTATACATGAATTTCGACCAAAAATAACGTTGCCAGATTTTGATGCACAATTAATCTAGAGGCCAAACCATGAAAAAAAATCCAAACCTCGTGAAAATTTATTGAGTTTTATCCGAGATATGGGGGTGGGAAATCTCGACCTATGTCTGTATAGGATATTTGAGGGTACAATTTTTTACATGAATTTGGACCAAAAATAACGTTGCCAGATTTTGATGCACAATTGATCTAGAGGCCAAACCATGAAAAAAAATCCAAACCTCGTGAAAATTGGTTGAGTTTTATCCGAGATATGGGGGTGGGAAATCTCGACATATGTCTGTATAGGATATTTGAGGGTACAATTTTTTACATGAATTTGGACCAAAAATAACGTTGCCAGATTTTGATGCACAATTAATCTAGAGGCCAAACCATGAAAAAAAATCCAAACCTCGTGAAAATCGGTTGAGTTTTAGCCGAGTTATGGGGGTGGGAAATCTCGACATATGTCTGTATAGGATATTTGAGGGTACAATTTTTTACATGAATTTGGACCAAAAATAACGTTGCCAGATTTTGATGCACAATTAATCTAGAGGCCAAACCATGAAAAAAAATCCA